TCAACCTGAGAACACAGCAGATTGGCTGGGTCAAACGATTCGTCGAATGTCAAGGTCAAGTGGCCTTGGTCACCTTGCTACTCAAGATCAACAGGAAGAATGCCAACGGAGGGCCGGCGTCGTCGTCTACAGCAGTCAGCGCTCAGACGGAGAAGAACCTCGATCGCGAATACGACATTGTCAAGTGTCTCAAGGCCTTGATGAACAACAAATTCGGCGCCGACGATGCCCTGATGCAGTCAAAGGTCCTGCTGGCCTTGGCCACCTGCCTGATATCCTCTCGACTCACAACCCGGAAGCTCGTCAGTGAAATCCTGACCTTCCTCTGCACCTGGGGCAGCCACGGCGAGGGTCACTTGAAAGTCATTCAGGCTCTGGACGAGGTCAAGACTCAGTCGGGCGAAAATGGGAGGTTCGACGCCTGGATGCGGCTGGTGGAGGTCACCGTGGATGGCCGAGGCAAGATGGGCAGTCTCGTGGGTGCCAGTGATGAGCTTCGAACCGGAGGTATTGGAATGGAGAACCTGCTGATGGAATATGCGGTGGCCACCTTGATCCTCGTCAACATGATCATCGACGCGCCAGAAAAGGATCTCCAGATGAGGGTTCACATTAGGGCGCAGTTCCACGCGTGTGGCATCAAGAGGATCTTGACCAAGATGGAGGGATTTCAGTACGAGTTGCTGGACAAGCAGATTGACCGGTTCCGCACCAACGAGGCCATTGATTATGAGGATATGCTCGAGCGGGAGAACAGCAGCGTAAAGGACAACATCGAGGGAGATCCCAAGGACTTGACCGACCCCATCCAGATCGCAGACACGATTCAGCAGAAGCTGCAAGGAACCAAGACGCACGACTACTTTGTCTCTGCCCTTCAGCATCTTTTGCTCATCCGGGCCAGCGATGGCGAGGAGCGGCTGCGGATGTTCCAGCTGGTTGATTCGATGCTCAGCTATGTTGCCATGGACCGCCGATTACCCAACATGGATCTCAAGCAGAGTCTCAACTTTACGGTTCAGAGTCTGCTGGACAAGCTGCATACGGATTCCGAAGCCCGGCAGGCACTTGATGAGGCGTTGGAGTCCCGTCAGATCGCCGAGGCCGCCATGGCCGAGCGAGACGAGATGAAGGCGAAGCTGGAGCTCGGCGCCGATGGACTCGTGGCCAAGCTGCAGAAGCAGCTAGACGAACAGGCTCGGTTCATCGAGGCTCAGAGACGCCAGGCTGACGGTCTCAAGGTCGAGCTGAATAACCTTCAAAGCGTCCGAGCCAAGGAAGCGCAGCGTTATGAGCTTGAAACGAGAGAGCTGTACCTTATGCTGCGGGACGCCCAGGATATTGCGGCATCCAACGCTGTTAAGGCCAGCAGTGGTAAGCCCGGCAAAGACAACACGGCACAGATGCAGGGTATTCTCGACCGCGAACGCCTCATGGAGCGGCTCCAGAAGCAGCTGGAGCGCCAAAAGACCCAGTACAAGCTGGAGGGCAGGATCTGGGGAGACTCGGACGGCCCCTCAGATCGCCTCCGTGCCCTCAGGGAAGCCATGGACGGCGACGAGGAGCCAGGCACCCCCCCTGGCGGCGGTACACCACCGCGCGACTTCACCAACAGCGTACTCGGAACGATTCACCGCGGCCGGAGAGCCTCCAAGCGGCCAACGAAGCTCGAGCAAAGCGCTATTGACGAGGATGATACGGAGATGGACGAGGAGGGTGTCATCATCGAGCGTCCTAGGATTATCGAGATGAGGCGTCCCACTGTCGATGCGAAGCAGCAGGCCCAGCTCATGGGCGAAATCGGCTCCAAGGTCAAGCGATTCGACGGCAGCGATTCCGAAGCCGACGAGGATGCCACTACGGGCCCATCCCACCCGAGCATGGAGTCGTCCTCCCCCATCACCCCGGCAGAAGGCGAGGCCCCCAAGGTCGAAGTCACCGGTGCCGCCGGACCTCCCCCCCCTCCTCCGCCTCCGCCTCCCCCGATGCCCGGTCACTTGCCCGGCGTTCCCCCGCCCCCGCCTCCTCCGCCCCCTCCACCGATGCCCGGTGCGTTCCCCAGCGGTGGTCCTCCGCCCCCTCCGCCGCCTCCCCCTATGCCCGGTATGGGGATGCCGCCGCCGCCACCACCACCGCCCATGCCTGGTGCCCATGGCATGGCACCTCCCCCTCCCCCGCCCCCTGGCATGCCCGGCCACGTGTCCGGACATTACTTGCCTCAAACGCCTTCTTTCGGTCCCTCGCCTTCCATGGGCTTGCCGGTGATCCGGCCTAAGAAGAAACTCAAGGCTCTCCACTGGGAGAAGGTCGACACACCTGAGACTAGTCACTGGGCAGCGCACGCCCCTTCGGCCGAGGAGAGAGAACAGAAGTACAACGAACTCAGCCGCAGGGGTATTCTGGACGAAGTCGAGAAGCTCTTCGTGGCTAAGGAGATCAAGAAGATTGGTGGATCTGGCAGCAAGAAGGATGACAAGAAACAGCTCATATCGTCCGACCTTCGAAAAGCATTTGGTAAGTTGAGGCTTCGTTGAGGAACCCTTATCGCAGGCTAGGCAGTGGTTGTGCTAACGCGTGAAATTTCCAGAAATCGCCTTCGCCAAGTTTTCTCAGTACTCTGTTGAAAAGATTGTGCAGATGATCATCCACTGTGACGATGTCATACTCACGAACCAGGGCATCATGGACTTCTTGTCAAAGGACGACATGTGCAACATCAACGACAATGTCGCCAAGCAAATGGCTCCGTACAGCATAGACTTGACCGGACCGGACGCGAAGAGCCAGACGCGAGAGATGGACCCCGAGGAGCTCACACGGCAGGATCAGATGTATCTGTACACGGCGTTTGAACTGCACCACTACTGGAAGAGCAGAATGAGGGCTCTTGCCCTCACGCAGAGTTTCGAATCCGATTACGACGAGATCAGTTCGAAGATGCAGGACGTTGTCACTGTCTCTGAGTCATTGAGAGATTCAGTCTCCCTTATGAATGTTCTTGGTCTCATCTTGGACATTGGAAACTACATGAACGATGCCAACAAGCAAGCCCGCGGTTTTAAGCTCAGCTCGCTCGCGCGACTGGGCATGGTCAAGGACGACAAGAACGAGTCGACGCTGGCCGATCTCGTGGAGCGCATCGTCCGAAACCAGTACCCAGAGTGGGAGTCCTTCGCCGACGACATTACCGGTGTCATGACGGCGCAAAAGATCAACATTGAGCAGCTCCAGGCCGAGGCGAAGAACTACATCGCCAACGTCAAGAATGTGCAAATGTCTCTGGATTCTGGTAATTTGAGCGATCCCAAGAAGTTCCACCCGCAGGACCGTGTTGGTCAAGTCGTTCAGAGAGTGATGAAGGAGGCCAGGAGGAAGGCGGAGCAGATGCAAGTTTACTTGGAGGAGATGATGAAGACGTACAAGGACATCATGCTCTTCTACGGCGAAGATCCGTCGGACGAAAATGCACGGAGGGATTTCTTCACCAAGTTGGCTTCGTTCTTGATGGAATGGAAGAAGTCACGAGACAAGAACATCCAGCTGGAGGAGACGAGAAAGCGCAACGAGGCGTCCATGAAGCGCAAGAACGCGCAGACAAAATCTGCCAGCCTCTTGGCAGACAATGGGCCCGCGTCGCCTTCCAGCACTGGTGCCATGGATTCTCTGCTTGAGAGGCTTCGGGCAGCCGCACCGCAGGCACGGGATCAGAGAGACCGTCGCCGCCGTGCCCGCCTAAAGGATCGCCACCAGGTTCGTGTAGCCTCTGGGCAGAAGATTGATACTCTCGACGAGATACCCACCGTCGAGACCAACCTCTCCAAGACGGAGCCGGCAATCACGGAAGAAGGAGAGGCGCAGACACCGACGTCGCACCCCCCTCCATCGCGAGATGGCCACGAAGAGGACGATATAGCCGACCAAGCAGCAGCGCTCCTTCAGAAGATGCGCGGAGGCGATGGGAACGACGAAGCGGATGTCGAGAGGAGAGAGACGATGAGAAAGGCGAGGAGGCAGACGGCAGAGGAGGAACGAAGGCTACGGAGGAGGCGGAGGGAAAGGGCTTCGAGCACGGTAGGCTCATCGAAGGACGAGTCGTCAATCATGTCGGTAGCAGAGGAGGCGTCGACGCCAACACAGGAGCAGCCCAAGCAAGAGGAGGAGACGACGCCGGGAACGCCCACGACGGCAGCGGCAGAAGCGACAGAGGAGGCAAAGGCGGAAGAAAACGCCAGCCAGGACGGCAAACCGGAGGAAGCCGAGAAGGCGCAGGAGTAATCAGCAACACAGCGCCCCCGGTGTTTTGTTCTAGAACGGAAGCAGCCCACCCCCCATGAAGAGAGAGCCATGGACCAGGCCATCATACATGCCTATATACCTGTATAGATATACCTGTCAGCAAGTACATACATACTTAATGTCTATAACTGCAACAGCCGAGATGCTCTGTCGCTTTTGGCTTGATTCAGGACTTAGTTTTCCTCTTCTGGCTGGGATGGAGTGGAATGGCGCAGTGTTTGGGCTGATGAGAGTATCTGTGCCTCCTGTCTCTGGCTGTTTGACTGCAGATGGGATATCTTTCAAGTGTGCTCGGCTGGGCCTTTCTCGGTTTCTGTGTCTTTGTCTGATTGTGTGCTTTGGGCGCGTTGGAGCTTAGTGTTGGCTTTACTCTTGTGCAATCCAGAAAGCACTGTCGTATATCTCCTTGTACGAAAACAATACATACATAGCCCATCAGTAGGATCGTATGACGAAAGCGGAATACGATACCCGAGAATGGATATTTTTAGATTCACGATTTGCAGACAGGGTTGTGCTGCTTAGAGTAATCGGCATCCCAAACTCGACCACCCATGCTCTCATGCTGCGATGCTTGATCAGGCATCAGTGGCAGTCTATATCGAAGCATCAACATACTAGTTACAAACGGTCTATATGACCTACTAATCTACAATTACAGACTTTTGGAGACATCAGAGTCCCTGTAAAGAAGAGCCAGCACGATGGAAGGTGTCAAGGTAGAGGCAATCCCACCCTCTTCCCTCTGCAGCGTCTGCACCGGCATCTTCAACGGAAAATGGCAACCCCAACTCCGCGGCTGGAAGAGAGCAATCAAGCGCCCCGGCGCACCGCCCGACCCGTTCAACCCAGAGCCGGCCTTTGGGACGGCATACGACCACGGCATGGAGCCCTTTGTGCACGGCAAGGGCGCTCCCCCGACGCTGTCCTACCCGCACCACACGGTCGAGGAGCTGCGCGCTTCGGGGGCCTCGTGCGCGCTGTGCCAGACGGTGGTGCTGGCGTTTGACGCGCTGCACCCGAGGAACGACATCATTACGGATTACATGGAGGGGCGGAAGCCGTATGGCGTGGCGGTTTGGGGGAGGGAGGAGGTTAAGGGGGCGAAGGGGTATGTGTTTGTGTATACGGAGAGGGGGAAGACGAGTAGGCTTGTTTTTCGGTATCATGTGTATAAGGATTGGGCGGCGAATCGGAATATGGATGTCAATCCGACTGTGGGCGAGAGGGAGGGGAATGTGAAGGATGTGATGCTGGATATGCATGGTGAGTGAGAGAGCCCCTGAAGAGCAACGAGAACAGGGGGGAAAGGAGGAGAGAAGACGGATGGACGAGGTGGGGATGGGACATGAGTCCGACTTTTGCTGATCAGATGGCGACTCAGATGTGTCAAAGAAGGAAAACAAGCACCTCATAGCGTGGATGGATCGGGGGACCAGCATAGAGCGGGTTGCCCAGTTTCTCAACGAGACGAGCGACTTCGCCAGGGACCTCCCCAAGAGCCTCGTCCGAGAGCTTCCGACACGGCTTCTATACCTGATGCCCGGACCATCTGGGCCAACGGTGCGGCTCATTGACGGGGCAAACTCATCACTCGACATCGACACGCCCTACATCGCCCTCTCCCACAGCTGGGGCAACACAATGCCCATCCAGCTGGTGACCTCGCGCCTCTCCGAGTTTCCCAACGGCATCGCATTCCAACATCTGCCTGCCACGTTCCGCGATGCCGCGGCCTTGACCCTCGAGCTCGGCGTTTCCTACCTCTGGATCGACTCCCTCTGCATCATCCAAGATTCCGCCTCCGACTGGCTCCACGAAGCGCAGCGCATGGCCTCGGTATACACCTTCTCGCACCTCACCATCGCGGCATCAGCCTCCAAGAATCCCGCCACGGGCCTGTCCCCCAGCCCCCGTCCTCGCACCGTCATCGTCCGCCCGACCTGGACGGGGTACATCCAGGAATGGGGGCTGCAGCCCGGCCAGACGCTGCGCATCACCAATCCGTGGCATCAGGAGTTTGGCAACGCGATTGTCTCGGCGCCGCTGAACCGGCGTGGGTGGACGTTTCAGGAGTATGCCCTCTCTCCGCGCGTGCTGCACTGCACGGATGGCGAGTGGTGGTGGAACGGGATTGGCGATGGCATCTATCGCGAGACGTCGACCGATGCTATTCGCTTCTTTACTGGTCCTGGGAGCGTCTCCTGGCCCGATAAGTTGGCCTTCTTCAACATGGAGAGGCGTCGTCGGACGCACACTCCTGACGCCTGGCTATGGGACCGTCTCGCGGCTCAGTATAACCAGCGAGCTCTCACGAAGCGAAAGGACAAGCTGGTGGCTTTTGGGGCGGTGGCGCAGATCTTTGGGCGGGTAACTGGCTTGCCGGTTGATACGCCGGGGGAGTATGCCGCGGGCACATGGAGGAGCTTGCTTCCTTTTGGGCTCCATTGGGCCGTAGGGGAGAATGCAGAACGATATGTGATGCGGCCAGGGGCTGAAGATGAGGGATACGTCATTCCTTCGTGGTCGTGGGCGTCTATAGACGGGTTGGTGCGCTTCCACGACGGCAGTTCGTTGAGGGGGACGCGAGAGGAGCAATGCAAGGGGATGCCGCGAGTGGTGGATGTCCAGGTCGTGACCGAAGGAGGACCGTTTGGGCCTGTCAGGGGCGGGTTCATCATCCTTCATGGGCCCATCTTTCGGATTCGTGCGGATAAGAAGGCGAGGGATCACAAGGAGTTGGGGTTCTACCGCGGTTTCACGGTCCTGCGAAGTGATGGCTCGGAAGCGTGGAAGGGCGACGGCCAAGGGTTTTCTCTCGATTCGTGGAAGAGCAGGCTGGATGAATGGGCTGATGACCGCGAGATGTATCTCATGATAGCTGACTGTGACGCCGAGGACAGATATGGCGATGCGTTTGCTATCTTGTTGGAGTCTGTTGAGGTTGGGTTGAAGGGGAAGGGGGTGTTTCGTCGGATTGGGTCGACGCGGTTCTCCTTTCATGGCGTTGGGCTGCTCATGAAGGATGTGAGGCAGGATGGGAATGAAGCTTTGAGGGATGGGGAGTACATCGATTTCAATTCCACGACGGGCTTCTATACCTACAAGATAATCTGAGTAATTGGGGACTGTTTATTCATTACAGCATTGGAGAAGATATTAGCATGATTGGCTTGGTGCCTCGGACTCAGAGCACTGAACATGGTCAGCTTGTTGAGTTAACAACTCATGTAGCATCCACAACACGATAAAAGCTTGTTAGAGTGTTACATAAGGAAACAGAATGCAAACCCGTGCTATGCCATCATGGATATCATGCGATAAAACAAATGTACAGATAAACAAGCCCCCCCTTCCCAACCATATGCCCAGAAGAATGATGCTCATCGCGATGGACTCAGTGGTCTGTTGAATCCTCCCTGCCGATTCATGTACTGCCGATACTCAGACTTCTTCTCCTTGCGCACGGCACCGACGTCGTTGCCTGGGATCTTCTTGCCCTTAGTGGTGTCGAAGCCGCCAAAGCCCATCAGGGCCTGCATGGCCGCCAGGTCGTCCTGGCCCTCGATGACAATGTCGTCATCGTCATCGTCTTGTCTCGTATTCGCATCGTGATCCATCTTGTCGTGAGAGGGAGATCTATCTCCTCGTCTGGGGCTGCGATCTCGTCCTCGCTCGTCGTCCCGGCGAGAAGGCGAAGGGCTGCGCAGTTCGGTCTTGATTTTTATGCTGGGCTGGGGCTTGCGGGAGGTGCTTTCTGGATGGGGTCGGGTAGGAAGGGCGGAGTGAGAGGGGGAAGGCGAGCGGCGGTGGTCATCGTGGTATTTTGCTGCGGCTGATTTCGTCCCTTGTTAGCACGAACTGCTCAAGGACACCATCCCCAATGCCGGGTCTTGACGGGTTTGTCTGCTTACATCGTCTGTCTCTATCGTTGCCATCACGGTCGCCCTTATCGTCCTGCCGACGAGGGCTCTCTCGCCGATCTCCATGTCGTCCTCCGCGACGGTCCCAGCCGCCTCGATTCCTGTCTCCTCCACGCTCCCGTCTGTGTTTGTCCGGCGACATGGAGCGATCCTGCTGCTTGTCGCGTCGGTCTCGCGATCGCGATCTATAGCCCCTTCGATCTCGGCCCCGGTCTCTGCCGCGGTCTCTCTCCTTGTCTCGACTGTCCCAGCCGCGCTCGCGGTCTCGGGGAGGGTTCCTGTCGCGACGGTCTGATTCATCCCACATTTGGCGGCTGTCGGGCCGCCTTGAGCGGCGTGGATCGCTCATTCTGAAATTATGCGCTGTGGGATTGCGATAGTTGAGAGGCTGTTGTATATGCGAATGAGCAGCAGAGGAGGTTGTCGTGAAGCTGGGTGAATGAAGTTTCTGGAAGCAGCAACACTGTCAAGGCTGACGAAGTGGCAGGGGTAGCAGAGCTAAAGGTGTGTTCTTGGGGTGGATAATGTGGCTTGTTGTGGCGTTCTTCCAGAATATGATTGGTCAAGCTGTCAAGCTGCCACTCCTCAGCCTTGCAGTGACACTTGGCTGGCAGGGCCACTCAACCCACCGTGTTCATTGCCCCAAGCAAGGCGTTTGTTGTCAGAGAGGCCAGCATTGACACTGCATTCTCCTTTTCTGCTTAGATGAGGAAGCAGGACTCCAGCGTATCATCTTCGACTCTCTTTACATAGAGCTGAGCTCAGTAAAGCAGCAAAGGAAGAGGGCAATGGCCAAGTTCGCCCAACTGCTGGCCTCTGCGGCGGCGCTGGCCGTTGGCGCTTCAGCCACGGGCAGCGAAACCGTCCTGATCAGCGAAGTTGGCCGTTTGAACAACCAGAGCCTGCTATGGGGTCCCTACAAGCCGAATCTCTATTTTGGAGTCAGGCCGAGGCTGCCTCAGGGCTTGTGGACGGGCTTGATGTGGGGGCGAGCCGAGCAGTACATGGATATTCAGTCGCGTACGTGAGAGGAATCAGAGTGAGATTGTGGCTGTTCTCATGAGCGTGGTGCTGATCCGGTGATAGTTTTTCGATACACATGCGAGCAGGGCCAGGATATACACGGATATGGCTGGGATGAGTACGACGCCAGAACTGGTGGCGTTCAAACGATTCACGACGAGGGCAACGGCATTGACATCACCACCTCGTTCATCAAAGTTCCCGGGGGCAATCATGGAGGCAGCTGGGCTGCGAGGATCAAGGGAACCGTCCGAGATGATGCACCCGCCGACACCAAGTTTCTAGTCCACTACTATATCGCCCAGGAAGGCCTCGGAGATCTCGAGGTTGAGGGTGCGGATGAGGACAATGGACTGGGATTCGAAGGCGACGTCAGATTAAAGGGAAGCTCCAATTCCTTGGGCGATTACTCCATCGTCGTCACCAAAGGAAGTGGTAATCATCCGACTTCGGACCATGAGATTTCAGCCTCACGACGAGGAGACACGACAGTGGTTCGCAGCCTCGGTCTCCCCGAAGAGCATCTGTGGCAGGCCAAGCCAGCTACCTTTCGGGAATTGCAAGAGTCCATCCAGGAGATTCAACAGAGCTACACCGACGAAACCCTGCCACCGCCTTGGCAAATGTTCCGGCTCACGTCCAAGCCCGGCGGCGGCAACGCCCACGTTATTCAGAAGACATTTGAAGGGTCATTCGAGTTCGACGTCATCTTCTCATCGGCCTCAGCTGGCAGGGAGCTCACTAGCCACGACGTTACCCGGGAGATCAAGGAGACTTCAGAGGCTTTTGGAGAGCGCTTCTCCAGTGTTTTTGATCTGAAGGCGCCTTACACTGATGACAAGTACCGCAAGTTTGGCGAAAGCATGTTCTCCAACTTGATTGGGGGCATTGGGTACTTCCACGGACACCAATTGATTGATCGGTCGTATGCAGACGAGTATGAAGAAGAGAATGAGGGCTTCTGGGAGGATACGGCTGCCGCCCGAGCACGCCACGCCGAGCAGCTCGAGGGCCCCTACGAGCTGTTTACGAGTGTTCCGTCACGACCCTTCTTTCCTCGCGGCTTCTTTTGGGATGAGGGATTCCATCTCATCCCGATTGCCGACTGGGATATCGATCTGACGCTCGAGGTTGTCAAGAGCTGGTACAACACCATGGACAGTGATGGCTGGATTCCGCGCGAGCAGATTCTTGGCCCCGAGGCCAGAAGCAAGGTTCCAAAGGAATTTCAGGTCCAGTACCCTCATTATGCCAACCCCCCTACCCTCTTCCTGATCATCGAGGGCTTCATGGAGCGTCTTCGCAGTGCCAACGTTAGCGCACCTGCTGGGAAAGAAACGCTACTACAAGGGCAAGATCTCTACAGCGCTCATCTGGATAACCTGGAACTCGGCAGCGACTTCCTCCGCAAGATCTACCCTCTTCTTCGACGTCAGTACGACTGGTTCCGTAAGACGCAGAAGGGAAACATCAAGGCCTACGACCGAGAGGCCTTTTCCAGCAAAGAGGCCTACCGATGGAGAGGCCGAACTGAGACGCACTGCCTCACCAGTGGCCTGGACGACTACCCGCGACCGCAGCCGCCGCACCCGGGCGAGCTTCATGTGGATCTCATGTCTTGGGTTGGATTCATGACCAAGTCCCTCATCAACATTGCGGATGCACTCAACCTTGCCGATGAGATTTCTGAGCTCAAGAAGAATCTGTTTGCCATTGAGCGCAACCTCGACGACCTTCATTGGTCTGAAAAGGAGGGCTGCTACTGCGACGCAACCATTGACGAGTATGAGGAGCATGCGCTTGTGTGCCACAAGGGCTACATTTCGCTGTTCCCCTTCCTGGTCGGGTTGATGCAGCCTGACGATGCCAAGCTGGGCAAGATTCTCGACCTTGTTGGCGATGAAAGTCACCTGTTCAGTCCTCATGGCCTCCGCAGTCTGAGCAAGCAAGATCCGCTGTATGGGACGGAAGAGAACTACTGGCGCAGCCCCGTATGGATGCCCATCAACTATATGGCACTGACGCAGCTCCACGTAAGTATTACAAGAGCCACCTGGCTCATGATAGTTGTACAAGAAGGGCGACGAGAAAGCTAATTTTGTTTTGTTTTACAGAGGATTGCCACGCAGGAGGGACCCTTCCAGAGCAAAGCCAGAGGCTTGTACAACAAGCTGCGCACGAATCTCGTCGACACCGTGTTCAAGAGCTGGGAGGAGACGGGCTTCGCGTGGGAGCAGTACAACCCCGAGACGGGGGCCGGCCAGCGCACGCAGCACTTTACTGGCTGGACGAGCCTGGTGGTGAAGATTATGGCAATGGCGCCGTTGGACGAGACGGTGCCCGTCAGGGATGAGCTGTGAGGTTGGGCATGATGGATGGATGGATGGGTGCCCTGGACAACGATGGCCACGAATTTCTGCCAAGATAGACCGAGGTAACGCAATATTGCAGCGACACAATGAATGAACATAGAGACTCTCATCGGAAGGTGTTTATCGGATTGAGAAAAGTGTAACTGTCGTCAGGCTCAGGCTCGTTGGGCCCATGATCGGCTCCCCCGGCTTTCCTTGTGCAACGTGGCACCTGTGAGTCACTCAGGCCGCAATCAATCAATATCTTCCATACCTACCTTATGCAGACATGCCATTAGCATGTGCAGCTGCATGTAATCAAAATCGAAACGTATCTGCATGTGACTCGTTGGAAAAAAGCAAAAAGAAAGAGACAACAACGGAGAAGAAATGAATTGAGAGAGATTGCCGAGCTGTTGTGCACGGGGGCAATAGATGCCGGTTCGCAGGCCTTTTTTTAGTAGTTCGCAGGCTCGCTTGAGTATCGAGCATGGCAGGTTGCGTCATGTGCTGCTGACCTTTGCCAACGACATGTCTTGTTCAGTATGAGAGAAGTTGAGATGGATCGAAAGTTGTAAGTGAAGAAAGATCTGGGGAGGGTGAATGTTGAGAAATGAAGCATTGCGTATTCAGTCGTATTGAGGATGAGTCGGGTTTAGGCAGTTTTGGTCCTGTAGTGATGGCGGCTAACACAATGACTCAATGAACGTAATGAATCTATCGATCAATTCCCTTCAACCTCACTCACACCTGTATGATTGCCACTCTCTCAACAACCATGGCTGTGCTCTCTGAAAAAGCCGTAAAAAATGGCCTTCGCATCAGAAAGGCCACACCTGACGATATTCCACCTCTGCAAGCCATAGTCAACGCCAGCTACTCGAAATACATTGACCGCATTGGAAAGCCTCCTGCTCCCATGCTGGCCGACTACGCCAAACTACTCGAGACTCGCGATATTTTCATATTAGAGGCTACAACAAACGAAGAAGACGGGACTCCTGTTGTGAAAATGGTTGGCTCGATTATACTGGGCGTGGATGCTGAAGGAGACGCAGTCACTGTGAACAATCTGGTTGTTGAGCCGGCGTCGCAGGGTCGAGGCTATGGTCGTGTGCTGATGGATTTTGCAGAGGGCGTTGCAAAAGAAAAGGGCTTGTCGTGTGTGGCTTTGTTTACGAATGTCAAGATGCATGAGAATGTTGGGCTGTATCTCAAGCTGGGATATGTCGAGACGGGGAGGAGGACAGAGGACGGCTATGAACGAGTGTATTTTCGCAAGCAGCTGTAAAGACTGGACTAAACTAGCAAATAGACGTGGATAGACGTGAAAATAGAAAACTGGCAATCTGGTTTGATCTCCTTCTTGTCTGTTCCCTTCTCCTTCCCCTGTCGTAACCCCGATGCTCTCCTACTTCTTCATCGACACCTACAGGTCTTCTCATACGTGACGTAGTCATGAGTATGATGGTAGACCTTGCTGACCTTCCTGTAGCGGCGATAGCAGCCGGGGCATCTTCTCCCAAAAAGATGGTGGAGCACGCGAGTCCCGAATGAAGGTCGATCGTGGGTATATATGCGGTGACGGCTTGAATGAGAAGAGCTACAAGTGATGTGCTGTTGAGAGCCATAGTGGGAGTGACCGTGGGGATACACTCGACTATGCTGTGTGAAAATAGAATGGTGATGAACAGCAGGACCCCGGCGGCGTTGGTAAACGGCTGGGGATTCTGGGTATGGAGCTGGTGAGCCGTATCTCGAATCGATGGGTGGAGGATACGCATATGGCGTATGTTGGCGAGAGTCCTCCAAATCTTCACATAGGGACTCTTCGTAGGTCGGTTGCAGTTGATGATCATAGAAAGGTTCATCAAGCTGCTCCCAGAATCTTTGCTGGCGCTGCTGCTGCTGCTGCTGCGGCCGTTGTTGCTGCTGTGGTTGTCGTTGTTGCTGCTGCTGCTGTTGTTGTTGTTGCCGCTGCTGCTGCTGTCGTTGCTGTTGTTGTGGCATGGTCCCTCGAGCAGCTCGTTGATCGACTTGAGTCTGGTCTAAAGGAGGCTGTCGTCCTCGAGCAGCTTGTTGGAGAGGAGAATCCTGTCGAGGGGTCGATTGACGAGCAGTCGGCCGGCCAGCCGCTTGCGGTTGAGGATGATGCTGGGCATCTGTTGAACCACCCCTCGGCGCAGGTTGCTGGTTTGGTTGAACAGGTGGCACGGGAGCAAGCTCATCGAACTCGTCTTCCTCAAATTCTTGTACAGAAGGCTGGCGATAGCCATCAACACCAGGCTGGCGCTGAGACTGCTGTGGACGAGGTGGCTGCTCATGAGGCTGTTGAGTATTCCCTGCAGCAGGCCGCTGAGTGTTCCCTACAGCAGGCCGCTGAGTGTTCCCTACAGCAGGCCGCTGAGAAGATTGCACGCGAGTCGAAGAGACATATTGTCCAAATGGCTCGTCGTCGGCTTCTTCCTCAGGCTCTTCAGTAAACTCGTTGTTGGCTTGAGGGGCAGATTGTTGTTGACCGGGATGCTGAGCATTCCTTGTAGCGTTCCTCTGGGTAGTCTGAGCGGTGGCTTGAGGGGCAAGCTCATCAAAATCGTCTTCTTCGTTCTCCTCTTCCTCGAAAGTCTCTTCTTCATTGACCACTTCTTCGGAAGATTCTTGGCGAGTAGGTCGTTGTGGATGGGATGATCCAGCATTTGTCGGGGCAGGCCGTTGTTGGGCATTCGTCGTAGCAGGCCGTTGTTGAGAATCGGTCGCAGCAGCTGCTTGAGCATTCCTTGGCTCGGGTCTTGCAGGAGCAGGGGGTGGCCCAGCAATATCGTCGTCTGCCTCCTCTTCGTGCCCTCCGAAGTTATTTCTCGGCAGCTCAGCAGGCCGCTCGGCAGTGGGCTGAGGAGGATCTTGCTGAGGAGGAACAGGCTGGCGAGGGGGTTGACGAATTGGGAATCCCTGATGCAGAGGTTGCTGGCCATTTTGAGCAACATTTTCATAAGGGGGGTGAGCGTAGATGGCTTCTTGACGCGGAGGGCGCTGTTGATTGAACTGCTCATTGAACTGAGGACTGCTCTCATACGGCCCCGGAGAAAAGGGGGTCGGAGGGTAAGGCATTGAAATATAAGGCATCTGGGGCTTTGGTGTCGGAGGGTAGGGCATCGCAGACCAAGCCATCGGGGGCATGGGAGTCTGGGGGTAGGGCACATGAGCGTAAGCCATCTGAGGATCCTGTGGTTGGGGTTGAGGGCCCGAAAAGAAAGGTAGAGAAATCTGAGAGGCAATAGCTTGAGCAGCGTGCACAAATTGCACCAGATGCTCGAAATAAGGGCATAGGCTAGCACTATAGTACTCAACATTCTCCTGGTCGGATGTCGGCACGTATTCTCCATTGCGGACGATGCCCAAGACGTCTGCCTTGTCGCTTTCTCTCTTGATGACGGAGAGCTCGTTGTCAGCGAGGCAGAAGAGCAACAGCTTGGGGTCACTGGTTGCTGTTCCATCTTCACCGGCGCAGATCTTGGAGGAAGCGGCGTCAATCTTTGCGCTTGAAAATGGCTCGTCTGATATTCCAGTAAGCAAATGCATCTCGTGTAGCTAGAAAGGGGCAGATGGGACTTGACTCCCAGGAGGCAATACATACCTTTCCATCCCTCTGTGTCGTGCTTCAAATACCGCGGAGTGTTCTCAGTGCCAACGTAGATATAGTACGAGGCATCCTTGGTCTGGAAGCTAGCCAGGGGAGTTCCAGGCGAGGCCATGCACGTTGGAAGTTCTGCATTCTTCCAGCCTTCACCGTCGTCTTCAATGGCACCAAGGGAGCAGTCCGGGTTCTGATAGACGACAGTTATTGCTCCATCGCCACAGGAGAGGGTAAGGCGGCTTTGGGGGTGCACTTGCACGTCTATCTCCAAATCTTCCTCCTCCCAGGTCTCTTCTTCCTCTTCCTCCTCCTCCTCCTCCTCCTCTTCTTCGTCTTCGTCTTCAGCTCGCAATGTCTCGGTGAAACATTTGAGCATGTTAGATTTGTCAATGGTAAAGAGTCTCTAGATTCCACACAGACATATGACCGGCTTCGTTAGCATGCTCACTCAGGTACAACGCTTTCAATTCCGTTCGACATTCTCACCTTGTATCGTAAGCAAATCACTGGTGCAGAGGTACCAGTTCGGACCCCTGTAGCAACCCGCTTTCTGCCGGATCTTTCAGATCCAGTCCACGTCTCCATATACAGACTATTCTTCACTTCATAGAAAAGATAAGTCGATTTCCCGTCTTCAGAGGGAGACCCTCCTGCTGCCAAGAGGAAGCGGATAACATCCTGTAGTTTGCCCATGTCGACAGAAAGAACGTGGTGCCACAGGTGTGGTGAGACAGAGGGTGAGCACACAGGCGTGTTAGTGAGGTCTGGAACATTAGAAAAAAAGGGAGACTGAGCATGTCCAACCCCCCATGTCTATGAATCCCTGTGGCCCAGGCTAAGCCCTTTATATGTAAAGCGCTCTGTTACTAGCCTAAGATGCAATACTACTCTCCATCCCCTTCAGTCTCGATTCGGCAAGCAACACCTTGGGCTGCAATGAGGCTCAACTGGCTGGACTACCTACCACAGGCCCGATAACCAAAGCAAGAGCACGTCATAGAGCAGAGGGTCTCCAAAATTCTGGTGCGTCATGAGACCTGGCATTGGGCATAGTATGGCCAAGCAATGCCTCGACGCCTCTTCCTTTGGGTGCGTCTAGACGCCGGTCAATGTAGGGGAAGTTGGGGTCGGTAATCTCGAGGAGGAGATTCGCGGATGTGACCGGAGTCCATGCCCAAAACGCGTCATCTCCTCTGCATCCATTCTGCAATACTGTCCTACCACATGCATTGACAGTTGTTCTTTGCTCTTTTATCCGGATCAGGCTGCCAATGAGGTCTTGGTGGGCGAGACAAAGTTGCCTTGGGTTGCCTTTCGGATGCGGCTGCGTCTGATACTAATGCTTGGTTGAAGTCCAGGCGCCAGTTTCTCCCATTCCTTCCCTGCAATGTATCGGCTAGCTGTCATGGCAGCAGCAGAATGGCGTTTGCAGCAGCGTAAAAAGCTTGCAGAATGTACCTATGGATGGCTTCAAGCCGAAGCATTCGCTCTTGCGTGCGGCTGAAATGCAGGTTGGCTGCACTCGGTGAAGCCGTATGTCTCGCTTTGTATGGCTGCAACGCGCTCATTCAGCTGCAGCTCTAACGCAAGACGAGAATTTCAGATCAGAAGAGGTAAAGTCTGGACTTTGAGCCGCCAATTCTCGGTGATGGACGAGGGCTGAGCTGTGGTGGCTACGTAATGTATCGGCATCGACTTGTATGCCCTATCTATCACGAAAAGTTGAGGCTCTTTTTTTTTTCTCCTGCGTCATCTTCCTGTCTTGCTGTCGGTGCTGACTTACTTATAATCTCGTACCTGGACCAGGTATCTATAAGAGAGCCGACATATCTGATAACTCATAAATAGTGCACACCCCAGAGCCACAGACAGCAAGGGTGAACCAACACACTTAGACGCAAACTCCAGCATCTTTCCCTGTAGCTATCATCTATTCGTTGATATAACACACATATACTCCTCCTCCATCTCAATATCAAGACAAATCAACACAGAACAATGGCGACAATCTACCACGCCGCGGCTTTGGGTCGTATCACGGATCTCGCGGCCTTGGATCCTTACAAATCCGCTGATTCCGAGTTCGGGATTGATAAACCCGACGACAAGGGTCGCACAGCCCTCAGCCACGCTGCCTCGAGAGGCAAGATTGATGTCGTCAAGTTTCTCATCAGCCAAAAGGCCAATGTCAACGCCCAAGACAACAGCAAGCGAACGGTACTCTGGTGGGCCTCTCATAGTGACCCGTCCGTCACCAGACAAGAGCGATTCGTCACGGTCGAGTACCTCCTGCAAGAGCATGCAGACCCGAACATCCCTGCCTCGAACGGCTCCACCGCACTCTCCAAGTTCATCGAGCACCGCGAGCCGACCGTCATCAAGCTTCTACGACACTATGGCGCCTCTACGGACCACAAGATCCAGAGAGGCTCAACCACCGTGAGCATCGAGGAGCTCGCAAGGGCCACAAAGGATCCGGATGTGATCGAGGCAGTGATGCTAAAGCCGGGGCAAGCTTCGAGCAGGGACGTGGTCGTGACTGAGATTGTCAACTACCTGTTCAGGTCTATTGGATACATGAATACTGCCTTTGGTGGCGTTGTCAGGAGTTTCTTCGGTATCAGCGGCGATATACGTGCTCCCCTACAGGTCAGTATACTACGTGATCCAAAGAAAGCTACAGTCAATCGATGTACTAATTCAAAGTATCTTCCAGGCCGCACCAAGGGAGAGGCAATTCAGCGATTCAGACAGTGCCATAGACATCTCCCAGCCCGAAGAAGACAAGGTCGCCGCTCTCTCAGGCAGAATCCATGACTACTCAGACAGCGACGCTTCTCGCATCACCGCAAGCACTGTTGGTTTCAACACAGCAGCACTTGACCCGGTCCAGGGGGACCATAGGGACCAGGAGGACCAACAAGACAAGAAGGGCCAACAAGACGACGAGGATAAGACTCCTCATGTATCAGAGATCTCAGGGAAGACCACGGCCAAACAATTCCAGGCAGGCATGACCCAATTCATTGATGACACTGGTCTGGGCTGCTTCTTCGCGGAAGACGACAAGTTCTTGGAAGACGTCGCCATGAAAGCAGTGGAGCTCGAAAACAACGTAGACGAGGTGCTCAACAGCAAGAAGGACATCCAAGACATCACCAAGCTTGCACTGTACCAGCCGGTCTTCTACTGCGGTGAGTCTGACTGAAGGCATCTTTTGACTTGTCAAAGATGAAAACTTCCTACTCAGACACATGTACACCTGCTGACGATCATTGGTCCCTCAGATGACAGCACTTCGATGAAATCAGGCACTCGTGCCCGTGACCAGGTCGAACTTGTTCGACGAGTTGCCCGAATCTCTACCCTACTGGTGCCTGATGGCTGTGGTACGGGACTGCAGTTCATCAATAAGAGACATACGCTGGACGATAATCTCAAGGCAGAGCAAGTCGAAGAGATCATGAGATCGTTTGAGCCTCGTGGCAATACCAAGATCGGCATCAACCTCGAGCGAAAGATTCTCAATCCCCTGATTTACGACGTCATTGACAGCGGAAAGAAGTTGGAAAGGCCCATCCTGATTTCTTGCATCACTGATGGCTGCGCCAGTGGCGAGCCTTCGACTGAATTCAGAGATGCTATTGTCAGATGCGTTGGCTATCTCAAGGAAAAGGACTACCCGCCTACAGGTAGGTTGGCATTCAACCAATCATTGACACGTCCTCCGATGCTGACAGCCACAATAGCTGTGCGATTCCAGATTAGCCAGATCGGTAACGACCGTGGTGCCGAATCCTTCCTTAACCAGCTTCGGGATGATCCTCTTCTGAAGGATGTGCTCTTCTGCACCACTCGTAAGTAGTGTTGAGGTTGCACAAGCCAATGGACAACAGTGAGAGAAACGCTAACGGGAGGATTTTCAACCAACAGAACGCCTCGACGAGGAGTACAAGAAACTCAATGAGAACGAAGAGGATCTCGAGCGATGGGTACGTCAGGCGCAGATATTCGAAAGCTTGTTTGATTGGCAAAAACACGTGGCTAACAACTGTATAGCTCTTGCAAACCCTCATGGGGCCAATTCTTAGCCTCGGCCGTAAATAGGCTACACACGAGGAAGAAGAAGAAAAGAAAGAAAAGAATCGAAGGGAGAAATTTTCTGTGTTTTTACAGAAACCAGAGGCGAATATTGGGAAAACAGGCAAAAAGGAGGGATCTATTGACGGTATATCAAGGCGCTAGGAGTCGGATCGCTGGGGATGCTGATTTCACTTGCGACATTCTTTGAATCTTTTTCCTTTGTACCCTTTCCCTTATCTTTCTTGTTTGTGTAACAATCTTTTAGGCCCGGTTTTCTTTTGTCTGCCGCTTTACTTGCTACCCTGGCTTTTCTTTATTCCTATTGTTCGGAATCACTCTTGGGTTGAAGTTCGTTGGGCATGATGGTTTTGGGATGCAGGATGGACGAGGCCGATCTCCTGGGCAAATGCAATAGTCGTTATGATCAAATGATAATCGTTTTGTTTTCTCTTCGACTCGATGGAAGTATGACATTCATCACTTGCAAGTAAGGTACAAGACCGTCGTGAAGATAGGCATAGAGAAAGATAGCAAGTATGTTAGTAGAACCAAACTAGGTACATGTAGTCTTGATGCCTCCGATAGATGATAAAAGAAAGTATGGCTCCCGGGACAAGATGAGGTGAATTTCCGATGAGGATGAAAGTACGATGAGAATGAGATTCCGACGAGAATGAAAGTTCGAACGTATGCTCATTGCTATTCAATCAAGAAAAACCGACTCTGTTGACATAGTTAGCCTAGAATTAGTATAAAGCAGTCGAGACTGGAACTTACTCCCAGCGCATTCTTGTCTCCTTGGTCAGCAAACAATACTCCTGCAAACTCGGTCATTCCATCCTCAATATCTTCCTCTTCCCGATTGTCATCGTACAATCTCAGCTCTTGATTCTGACTCTCGTCCATACCATCCGGCAAAACGATACAGAGCCGCTTCTTGCCACCTTTGAGAGTCGCTTCTTGGAATCTGACGAGGTTCATCTCTTTGAACGTGTCCACCAAGACGGCTTGTTGCCGCGAGGGCCGCCACTCGACCCAGCACTTGCCTTTGCCACCCCAACCAGGAGGTTTGCAGAACTTGAACGCCCACAGCGGAGAGGACTTCTGAGCCCATACGGGTGGAACGGTGGCTGGCAGGATATCAAAGGCCACGTTATCCTGAGCCATTGCCGAGTCCGAGGAACCAAGAAACACCTTGGCAAACTCACAATGCCGAGAAAAACAGAGGTATGTGTTATGAGGTCTGCTCTTGGTCCCCATGACGCAGAGTCGCTTGTTGAAGAAGCCTACTCTTGTCCAGAGGCAGAGATTCCTGAAGACCTCATCCGTGATCCTGGCGCCCCTGCTTCCGGGCTTCGGCGTAGGTTTGGGACCCAGCTTCAGCTCCTGCTTTGGCGCCATGTTGCTGGAGTTGAGATTGGTTAGACCATCTCATCTCTGTTCCGAGGACCGGGATTATTCTATCAAGCCACTTACTGAATACCTACTACCATCGGGTGGCCACCGTACGGAATCCAGACGGCCGATCCGCTCATTCCAGGTTCCGTCGGTGCCAAATATTCGAGCTGATTGCCGGCTCTGACCAGCGGACCGGAGCTTTGGATGGGGCTATCACCGTCTTTTCCATCATACCCACTTACTCGTACCTCTTTAGAGACTCGCAGAGTATCATCATAACAGATTCCAAGACTCAGCCCCATGCCCTGCCTCTTGGACTGCAGAAGGGGATTCTTGGCCAGTAGGATGACTCCGTAGTCATATATTCCTCTTTCGTCAGACTTTGGGTCGGTTTCAAGGTACTTTTCATAGGTAGGACAGATTCTGAACTCGGTCGCGGGCTCTCTGTCATTATCTCCATAAATCACCATCATATTGGTAGCACGAGTCTTTTTCTCATCGATGAGGTTGTGCGCGGCCGTCAGTATGACATCGTGCGTCGAAGAAGGGAGGTTGACAAAGAATCCGGTGCCGTGTCTTGTAGTCCCTGCAATTCGCCAGTTAGCCACAGTCAAAGGGCATCATGGAGGAAATGTGTTTCTGCGTGTGAACGGGACACGGCACAGCCTTACCGCCAAACATGAATTGGAGCCTGACAATTGTGTTCTTCAGACTGTTGCACCTGTCGAGAACACTGGAGATCTCGGGTTGTACATTCTGGGCGCGGTTTCGGTGCCCTTCTCCAGGTGCCACGATGCGCTGGTACTCCATGACGGTGTCCGAGGCGAATTCGAAGTCTAGGCGGTAGAACATCGTCACTGCTAGCAATGCGTTGGAGGGTTTAATATGGGAAAATCGAAATGCCATGTTTCGCAAACCAACTTTGCGAGACAGTAGGACAGGAGGCCATTGGATGCCCGCTCAGCCACTGGCCAATGCATCGCTGCCCAACTCAACTCATGACAGACGGACCAACAAATGATCTCGCGAGAATGTCAATCAATTGGAATCATCTGATGACCCTCATCAAAGGAAGCTCTCACTCGGCTTTTGCAATTGGTATGTTCCTCACCGAAAGCAGTCATTCCATCGTCAACACCATCATAGAGTCGCGCTCTAAACAAGACCCCCATTTCTGGCGGCGGATGTCGGCAACCCGCCCTCTCCCTACATAGCCCGAGTCGCTTGCTGCTTGATTCGAGCTGCAAGGATTGACGACGAATTAGCAGCCTGGATTCCGTGCAATTTAATCCTACCGCATCCTCCGGGCATAGCCTTTCATTGCCATTTGCCTTGCTGCCTTTGGCACTTGTCGGCTATCCGACGGCTCGAGTATCTGTGACCCATATTGCTGTAGCCTGATGAAGTCAACGAATGGCTCCGCAAGGCACGGCTCATTAGGGATCCTCATGCCATCACACTGGCAACCATATTCTAACCGACTTCATCGTAGTACGTGTACTCGATCATCGATGTTTCCTCTTCCGTATCGCGTCTGATCCTTTAGATGTCTTTCGCCGCGGAATCCTTTCCGTCTATCTCATAGATCGAGTCAGCCAGATCCCTGAAACGAAGAGCAAAAAGAATGTCATCGCGACGATAGTTTCATCTTACCTCATGGGAGATCGCCATCTATACATGCAAGGAATGCATTTGACGTGAGGATGTGAGTGAGTTCGGCGATACAGAAGCAAGTGGTGCGTTGATCATGTCGTATACGAGAGATCCTTCCTCCTCATCATCCCGCATCCAGGTTAAGTTACGGTGACATATCAGGAGAAGCCAAGCAACTCCGTTCCTGGTCACTCTTTCTGCCTTCTCGAGAAAGTGTGGCACGGCTCATGAAAGCGCCCACCGTTGTTACATGTAATTTCAACGTCATGCTTCTTCCTTCCCGTCGATGATCACCCCTTCCCTGGCTCCAAGATATGCGACGGCATAGCTTTTCCAATACTTCGAGGCTCGAGATCTCTTCGAAGGAGTGAGGTCTCGATATGCACGGTAATGATCAACTTCCGGGATTCAAGATATGGGCCCGTTTTCTGGCCTGCTGCAAGGAGTTAAAGCAGACAACATGTCATACCATACCAATCTTCGAGCAGGAAAGAGAAAGCGATGAAGAGCCCCCTTGTCAAGAGCACTTGTCCCAGAGCAGCAGCCTAAATAAACTCGACGTCAGATTCTAGTGCCATCCACCGCTGGAATCGCTTGCCGGCAGTGAGCCACCCTAGCTGTAATTATATTGGAAGCCATAGATGTACATGCAGGATGCCAGCAAGGTAATGTCGCTAAGCGACCCAGTATTGGTGTGAGAGGGTATGTCGATGATAGGTTGTCTACCTACCAAGATGCTTGAAACGAGCAGCACCGCGGGTCCCGGTATACCCCTGGACCGTCTCATGGTGCATCTGGCGTGACTTCCTGTACTCTTCGTTTTTGCTCGTCCCGATTTCCTTTCTGGTGTATCCGCAATTGAACGAAGTAACCGGACGGGATGAGGCACGACCTAGATAGATACGGCTTACATCCACCCCCGACTCTTCGGCCCTGGCCTCATGGGGTGATTGCTAACACCCCATGACAGGGGAAAGATGGAGGAGGGATCGATAGGGAGACACACGGACCTCGTGGTCCTAGCATTCGGTAACTTTAGAGGAAGCACAGACGCAAGAAAAGATGGACAGGATGCAACAAGATCTGAGAGCCGACTCCGTGCCCTCGGGAGAAGACGGCGCCGAAGACTGGTGACCCGTGCACACAATGGATAAAGCCTCTCCTCAATCTCAGTCGAAATGGCAGGCCCACGGTATCTTGACGACGGCAAGTATCATGGGGCAGCATGACTAGAGCGTTCCTTTGCCTGATGTTAAAACATGTCAGATTCCAGCCAAGTGTTCTCGTCGTCTCATCTCAAGGTAACCAAAATGAAGCGGAACGACAAGGCACGAGTTATGATCTCCTCATGTCAAGCGACGGGTATCCAGGATCATGAATCATTTCCTCTTTTTGTTGTCGTGTACGGCTATTTGCGTAGCGGTCTGTAGGTAGCTCAGTCCCATGGGGACTGGAAGAAGTTCTGAGAATGGCGTCGAACTGATCAACCCATTCCCCCCTCCAGCGGACGGGAAGAGATAACACCTTTGGTCCGCATGGGTGCGTGGCTGTGGAGCAGAATGCAGCTTCATGGTGGTGTATGCATGCTACCTGCAGGATGCGACAATAAGCTGCTCAACGAAATACGAAGTAGAAGGAGTCTTACCTCGCTCGATTGATCGGTGGCCATCACGATTGAACCATCTCCTGCATCGGCTCGAGGTCATACGCTGCCCGTTCCCGCTGCATCTGCCGAGAACTGTTCCTGCCAAAGCAGGATCAAGTTCCCCGTTCCCATCTCGCTTGCCGGCTCACTCCTCCAGCGCAGAGGCCATCAACAAGGCATGAAATCGGGTCTCATCTTAGACTCGGTACTGCGAGGGTGATCTCGTGCTTCCATGGCGGCGGGATCAACAGTTGCGCGAGCGAGTCGGAACAGTTCAAGATGAGCGAGTTCCAGACCATACTCTGTCTCTTCACGCCCCTCCTTCTTGACCCATGTACTGAATCTCCAATATTACAGGGTCATCAGCAGACTTCATGGGCAGAATGGCCTGGAAGTAGTCCGAAAGTTCCGTAGGGTGCCGCTCCCTGGCGTCCTCTTGTTGTCAGCCCCTGTCCTTGTAAGAGTAATACGGGTACCTGTAAGAGTCGTGCTCGTAGTTCATGCTTTCCGCAGATTGTGGTGAGTTGAATGGGCTCCGTCCTAGTAATGGGACCAGATGCCTAGTATTTGGACTGTTGCAGATTGTCGTGATATTTCCCATGTGTTGAACCCCAACGCCGGGCGTTGAAAGCGGATGCAGGTCCAACAAGCAGCCTCTGTCTTCCACGTGGAGATCAACTGCGCTACAACGCTGTCGTGGCTATCGGCCAGGACGCTTTCCTGGATCCGGGGCTGTCATGGACAGGGTTAGCTGTGGGCATGCTGGGGTTTGCCTGTATCCTTGAACCTACTGCCTCCCAGCACTGTGGCATCGCCCCGAGCCAGCACAAGCATCCAGCACACTCTGAGCTCAATGTCAGCCCATGGACCGAGCCCCAGGCGGACAAGGTGCAGCCCCCAGGTGTGATCAGACCAGTTGGATGCCTGTGCTCGTTTCCGCTCGGATAAAGAGACCCTTGATTCGTAGCCCACCAACAAGGCTCATCATCATACCGGGGAAGCAAAGTCGCTCCATCTAGCAGAAATGCTGTAGACTGCTGTAAGGAGCAACGAGCCAGCAGAAGGATGAGTGTTGGGATGCTGGTGTGAGTAGCATTCGAGACGTGTCAATTTCAGTCGCTCGAGCCATGAGGGCGAAGACTCGTAAGGCGTTCAAAAGGGGAAGTTCGAATTGCTTTTCGCCCCCTTCTCGTGCAATTGTGGAATGATGATGGTGAGGAGGAGAAAGTAGAGGCGGAAAATGGTGAGGGGAAGAAAGGGAGGAGAGGTGAAGAGCAGCACTTGCCGCAAGAAGCCTTCGCGGATGAATAATCTGCTACCTACGATTAGGTATCTGCAAGTACCATCAATCATGCGGTTATCACGAGTTGCTGTGACTCTGTTGCCGCGACAGTTAGAACTGTACAATCAGGGCATTCTGCTCTATTCCGGCTGAATGGTTGATATCCTCGCGGATCGGCCCGTGCAATTGGCCTCAACCCGGTCCAACACCGCGGAAGCCCGGCTCTGCTGCCCCAGTCTTGGAGTAGAATGGGATCGCCCGTGCGAGTAAGGTACATGTACAAAAGTGCACACTACAGCTTACAAGTAGGTATCATTGTACCCGAAGTAATCATATTCAGGCTGAGAATGTATAGGTGCAATGACACTCTACCTTACCATATACAGGTCGGGAGCTGTGCCGCGAGCTGTGCAAGGACGAGGTGTGAGCCGAGCCAGGAGCCCTGAAGTGCATTCTGAGACACATGACGGGGAGTCGCAGAAAGAAAAGGGAAAGAAAGACGCTTCGTGGGGGTTCAACGAAATGATGGCCTGAAGAATGAGTCAAACGGCGTCAACCTGTCATCCACACGTACCACTCCAAGAAGAGGCTCCAAGGCGCAGCATTGTATGAATCTCGACCACTGTTCAGGGGTCACAGGCCCGGCTGCGAGGGGCTGTGGTGCTTGTAATACAGACGTATAGAGTGGACGAGTACTTCATTTGCATCGTGCCCATCATATGTAATTCTACAGGGTAGCTGGTCGTCGTTGGATATGTAGTAATAAGACAACCACTGCCGGCCTTCTGTACACAGTTGTCATGATCCTTCGCGCCGCATAAAGACACATCAAGGCAAGCGGCAAACATTACAAATTCTAGTCAAGCGGCCCCCCCTCCTCCAGTTCCGCTTACACGCATCTTGACGCCTGCCTGTGCGGCCCATCCTCTGCGGGCTGAGCAGCCGAACGTGCGAGCGAGGCCCGTTCGTTCGTGCTGCCGCATCCCCCCCAAATCCCATAGGGCTGTGTCAATAAGGCTGCAGGAGAGAAGGTTTCCATCTGATCTTCTAGAAGCTGACGACACCGGCCACGAGGATGACTTCAGACACGCCCATGCACGTATTGGATGTGTGTGTGTGTATGTGGTTGTATGTGTGTCACGACGATTTTTCCGCCATTCTGGTGAACTCAGATCTGGTGAAGACGGGTGATACGGTGACGGTAAGGCTGTCTGTGGTCTTACACTACCTATGTACATGTAGCTATGTCAACCAGTTGCATCTGCGATATCATCTCGGAGGCAGCGTTGAGGTTAGTAGCCATGGTGCTCATAAGATATTTGGGCATCATCACTGTCATACCGAGCTGTGAATACGACAGGAGTTGACCCGAGTCTGCCAAAGCCGAGACTCCTATCGTATGGCAGAGGCGCAATACGATGCATACGTGGAAGCAGGCAGTTGTCTGGCGCACGATACTGCAAAAGTCCGCCCGATCCTTCATCGCGGGCTCCGGCATGCGATTCCCATAGGGCGCCGTTCCTGACGATTAGTTTCTACGGTGGCACATCCGGAGGAATAATGATGGTGATGACGGTGTTCGCGATATATGCAAGTCACGGTAGTGATCCAGAAGGAAAAGGGATATCTGATACTGTCTGCGGGACAGAGGCGTGCATGTATGAGAGCAACACGAAGCGACGGAGTACATGCAGGTTAGATGAAAGGCTTCGATATCGCCGGGACCAGAGAGAGACGTCATTGCCACTGGCAGGATTGGTGAGTCTTTGGTGTAAGGTTGCATCGCCTGAGTCCCTCCAGGCACCGGGATATCCTCCTCTATGACTTGGCCTGAGAAGCTGGACGTGATTCGTCAAGATGAACACAAATCAAGAGTCGTGAATCATGTCACTCGGCAGTCATGCCCATCCGCCGCGCATCTTTCTGACCAACAAAATGTCAAGCGAGGTCGCCGAACAACGGCCAAGGCCGAGCTCTGTCGGGTCATGTCTGATAGGCTGCCGCGCGTTTCGTATTGATGAGAGTCAAGACTGCGACTTTGTCAGGAGGGAAACGCATGCGCAAGAGCGCATGTCGGAGTGTATAATGACCTTAGGCTCTGTCGTTGAAGGCATCTCACGGGAGTTCAAGGCAGAATCCAGTGATTGAACTCATGAAGTCGGAAGCTCCATCGCTGTGCTGCTGCAAATTCCATAGACTAAGGTAAATTCATGCAGTAGAGCAATGTACATGCAATTGCATGCATCGTGAACTGGAGAATGGCTAACCCGTGAATTAACATCGTGGGGGTTGAGGATTCATTTGCCTGTCAAGGGAATTGCTATCCCGGCACAGAAGACACGTATGTATCACCACACAAAAAGCAGGTCATTCTTCAACACCCAGAGCTCCAAGATGGCCGCGCAATCTCCTCCTGGTGCTTACTATGCATGGCAGTATGTTGCCGTTGGAACCAGCCCCATGACGATGATGTTCTCATCTCTGCTCGGTTGCGCATCCAGCCGAGGCTCTGCTCTCCTCTGGTACGTGACATCTTGGTTTGTAGGAAAAGGGAAGCCCATCGTCCACGAGCCACAGCGAACCGATGGGTGAGATGGGCAGTGCGCGTTTCGGCCCCCCTCCAGTCCTCTCTCGCTTGCTGCTCATAGCGCTGACACCCCGTGAGGCTGGTGAAGCGAAAGATCCAGTCGATGTAATACTACCCCCATAGTGATACTAATCGCTTTCAATCACTTTACAGCACAATGATCGTTATTAGACGAGACATGGAACAGGCTCAGTACAGTAAGCACCGAGTAAAGAAAAAAAGGCTGCAAGCGAGGCCAGCAAATCAGATGAACTGACAAACTAACATGCTGTTTTTGCGCGGCCCCCTAGCACAGAATTGATAGCTTCAGCATTCTGGTCTCTCCGGGGTGCCCATTGGGTCGCTATTTTTATCTCGCCAGAGAGAGGCCGAGGGCTCGTTGGTGAGCTTCGCGGCGCTTACGGGGGGAATTGAACCCGGGGGCTTTGTCTCTTCGGTATTGCTGGCAGCTCTTGGGCCAGTAAGGAGAGCCGGCATCGTGTTCTCATGATGTGCCGTTGACAATCTCTGGCCACATGTCCCGAGTTTCCGTCTTCTTTGGCCCTGCTCGTAACTCATCGCCAGGCACATTTTGGCTCCTGGGCTGTTACAAGCGAGCAGTAAAATCAAGTAGTCCACCTCCCACCCCTGGCAGTCAACCAGCCAGAGATCAGCAAGCCGTCCCCATACTTACATGTAGTTGTCATAGGCCGGTGTAGCAGGGCTTAGAACGTCGTCCGGCAACCGAGGTCGTTATTTTGGGAATTCTGAAAAACGATAGTCTGGCAAATCAACGCGCTCCCATCAGTACTGCCTACCTAGATGGACAAAATCTACATCGAGCGATTGCGACGGGAAACGAGAATGTGAGGATCCGAGTCAAGCAAGGAACAGGATTCGCTTCCGAATCGCGTCCTTGGTATCAGAAGTAGGTCGTCTACCTGGTTTGCTGGGGGATCCATGTCATCATGTCGACCCGATAGTGTGAGGTAGATGAAGGGCAAGTTGATAGGCATGAGGCCGTGCCGTGCCGTGTTGAAGATACCTGGGGATTAGGATTGTTGACGCTGCTATTGTTTGTACCTCGACCGATTACGGCTTGTATAGATATGGAGATTCGTATATTTCCTGGAAGATGTGTGCCTTCACCCTCGATTTGGCTCTTCAAGGGACATTCAAGTGCCTAGTCAGGAAGTGTTCATTATACAAGGCCACCTAGGCACGTCGTAATTTGCATTTCCGTCGATTCCTGGGTGCTGGGAGCTGTGTGTTAAGTGACACCAACCCACATCAATCGTATGGCATTGAAACAAGGCAAGGCAGGGGTATTCAAAGAAGGACACGGATACAGTACTCTCGTAGGGCGCGCATCTTGTAACTCTAATGGAAATGTCACGGCCACGATGAGGCGGATCAATCATTGACAGGGACCTTTCCTGACCCCTCTTCCTCTGCCTCTTCCCCTTGTTCAACCAAAGCGTCACTACAGGTACTATCACCACCACCTAATACATACAGGCATATGAAAGTCCCCAGGGCTTCCGCGTGCTGGTAGTGGCTGCAACCACCACCAAAAGGACGCCAAACGCCAGGGATCACCCCTGGACGCTCACTGCCCGGTTAGACGAATACGGCATCCTTTCAAGGCGAAGCGGAAGCAGAATAAAGGTACGCACCACGTGGGGGCGGCAATAGAAGCAGCTCCCCAATCTGTGCATTTTCGACATGGGGGGGTTGAAGCAGGATGAAAGTGAGGCATGACCTTTTGGTCGGAACCCAGACCCCGGGTCATTCGTCAGGTCAGGGAACATGCTTGTATGTACGACGTGCAATCTACAAGCCGTACTATGTGCCCTCTAATACCACCATGGGCCCATGGTACGGGTACGGAGCATTGGAGATGAGATGATGGATTCCCTTTACCGACGGCACGTCTACCAGCATCATCTGTGCACACCTTGTAGGAGTTCTGGCTGGGGATGGGGAGTTTCCCCGGCCACTGCTTTCTTCGTCTGATGTCTTGCACTCTTCATGTTCCTTCTGATCTCCGCTGGTGTACATGTTTCGCCGACACGACAAGGCAGATCGAAACAGCCAACAATTCGGCAACTGGGATGGTGATGACAGCTTCACACATTTGATCATGCATTCCTCAGAACATGACGGCCACAGCAAAGCCCGGCTTGGAGTCAGTCGCCCTGCTCTCGGCCACCACTTACAGGCTGCCCCGGTTTGTTGCCTCGCCCATCCGAAGCACAACCAGAAAGCCAACAAAATGCTGGGTTTGAGATTCGTGAATGTGGCAGTACGCCTTATCACACAAAACTCGGGGAATGATTCACCATGAATCCTCTTCAGGCTCAGGACCCAATCTTTTTTACCTTTCTTGCTCAGTTCTGTGCAGAGCCGGCTGCCGGTGCGTCGATGAGATTGGATGGAGACGCCGAGGAGGAAGAGGAATTGCCACGAGGCTCTGCATCATCCCGCACGGCAAAAGTGGAACAGAAGAGGACCTCGCGAACGAGGCATTGATAATGATGACAATTCTGAGCAATTACTCAGATAGAGCACCGAGTGACTCGCTTGAGTCGTATTGTATCATCCTATACATACCAACATACATACATACAGATTAATCACCATGCAGTGGCTGCCATTAAGGATGCAGCAGCGGCTGCCACTCAACCCACTGAGTTACCAAGCATCGCCATGGTGGCACACGCTTCCATTGCCGGTAGCCTCTTCGATTGGGCTGACTCCCAAAGAGAATAAGGAAGAATATGAGGATGCAAAAAGACCAAGCCTCAGCCCTACGGGGAACCGCTTCTTGATCAAAAGCGGGCAAAGGCCACGCCCCCAAAAAGACAGGGGGGGCTCCGTCAGCCACCACCCAAAATACATACATCCCCAGCACATGGATTCAAGACACACACACACACACACACACACCCCTCCATCTCCATCTCACATCCTGCCCCCCCTACCTAGTAATAACTTACACCCACGCAGTTGGCCCAGTAGTAATGACAAGTACAAGGGGCCATGGGATGACAGGAGAAACGATTTCTGCTTGGCCTCTCTTTTTTTCCTTTCTTGGTCAAGGCAGGGGGGGGGGGGGGGGGTGTATGTGTGCGTCTCGTAGGGCACGCGGCCGGGCTAGACTGGGCTGTACCTGTTAGTTAGCCGTATCCATCTGCTAAAGAGAACCAAGCACCAGAGGAAGGACAAAGAAGGGTAGGCGGCTCGTCATCTCACGCCGGAACCAAGGGGGGTGTATATGCCGTGTGAGTGCCTGGGAGGGATCCCGGTTCCATGGAATCCTGGGAAGTCTGGTCTCGATGTTGGCGAGACTGAGAAAGAACGTCGTTTTGGGACTATGTGTGTGTGTGTGTGTCTCGACTTTTGGGGTTCCGGATATATAAGGCCGCTTTGCTTCGACCCAGGGCATCGGATCTACCCATTGCTCGGACAGAACAACTTCACACATCAACAAGACAAGAACAGCTCTTCTACTCTTCCAATACACCTATATATCTTATATATATCCTCAACACATCCTCTACTCTTCAGCTCATCAACCCACCCACAAACACAACTTCTATCACATACAACAGCAACTCTATCACCCACAACCTTCATACTACCAACGGCTTCACAACATCTTCCATCTACACAACCAAAACTCACAATGGCTGCCTTTGCTACCTCCTTCGACGCCTCCATGGCCCTCGTCGACTCTGCCCGAAGCGGCTACAACATCGTCTCCGGCCCCAAGACCGGCTCTGGCTCTGGCTCCAGCTCCGGCTCCGGCTCGTCTTCAAACGGCCGCCAGCCTCAAGACTACTAGTCTGGCTTCTTCCTCATTCCTCATACCATTGTTACAATATTGTTACATTATATTGTGTTTTCCCCCTTTTGAAAGAAGCATCAAAGCAGCCTTCGCGGGCATTTCTTTGCTGGCGCATGGAGAACATCGGATAGACAAAACCACAGAAAACCCACAACAACAGACTACCACCAACCCCCCCGGAATAGCTCAACATCAACTGAAACGACGCGGCGGCAACATGTCCAATCTTTCATCGGCGTCGGAGCATTCAACTTTGCCTCCCCTCTGTATTTGTATCGGCATCAGGATGGATATCTCTTCATCAGCAGGACCTTGCTTTTTTCTCCCTCTTTTCCCTCGCCCTTTTTGCTTTCTACTTTACGATCTTTACGCGGCGTTGGACACATTGTACGAGAAACAAACAAACATGCTGCAAACGGCAGCCAGTATAGAGATGCGGATTTGGGTTCGGTCAACTGTTCTTCTTTTCTTTGCTTACTGGGTAGACCATGGAAGCTTTACGGCATTGGACGCAGCTGTGTCTAGTCTTCTTTCTTTTCTTCTGTTATCTAGAGTGTAGAATAGTCTCATAACACAAGTTGTTTTCCTCTTGATCCTTGATTCATTTCCATATTCACTACTTGCCCACGCAGAATCTGAACGCACACGTTAGCATCACTCGAACCATCGTCTGCCAGATAAACAGCACAGACTGCGTCACTCACTTTTCAAACACCACACCCAGCACGTCTTCCACATCCCCAGCCTCGCCCTTGCCCGTGATGCGCGCCAGGCAGTCCGCCGCATAACGCAGATACTCCGCCGCCAGCACCGTATCCGCCTCGACTCCCTCATCCTCCGGCCTCGCTTCCGCCAGGAACTCCTCCAGGTGGCCCCTGCACCTGGCCAGGAGCTGTGCCTGGCGCGCCGTCACACCCAGCAGATCCTGTAAATCAACGGGCATCTCTGTCATTTGCGAAAAGGTGCCTACCATGGCCTCTGTCAGGGCGTGAATGCCCCCGGGATCCTGGCTCTGCTCGGCAGAGCTCATGCTGCTGGCCTCCTTGCACGAGATGGCGGCTATATGTGTTGATGCCAGCTCTGGCACCGTTTCGCCTAATGTTTGACGAAATTCATCTAGCAGCCGTTGCAGCTCCGTTGGACTGACCGTGTCTCTCTTGTTGACCACAATCAGGCGGGCCTGGGCAGCGGCCGCAATATCCAGCGTCTCCTGGTCGAAGAGAATGGTCGGCCCAGACGGGCCGCTCTCGAGCGAGGCCAGGACGACGACAATGTCTGATTCCTGTGCTTTCTGCCTTGCCCGCCGGATTCCTTCTCGCTCCACGGCCCCGACCGGGCTCGATGGACCCAGATCATGGCTCGACCTGAAGCCGGCCGTGTCCGCAAACGAGCACAGGTATCCTCCAATATCGAGGCTGGCCTCCACAATGTCTCGTGTGGTGCCGGCCTCGCCTGACACAATCGAAGCCTCACGGCCAACGATCAAGTTCATCAGCGAACTTTTGCCCACGTTGGGCGGCCCCAGCAGTGCTATCCGGATGCCGCTCCTCAGCAGCTCGCTCCTCTGGCCGCCCCGTTCGTGCAAGCGTATGCCCCGGAGGATGTTGTCTACAATCTCTGCCACGTTGTGAAGCAGGTCAGCAGGAGACTCATCGAAATGCTGGTCCTCTGAAAAGTCAATGAGAGCCTCAATCTCGCCTCGGGCCAGGAGAAGCTCTTCCCTCCAACCTTCGTAGGTGCGAGCCAGTTTTCCTGAGGTACCCCTGACTGCCGCCCGCCGCTGCTGCTCCGTCTCTGCAGAGAGAATGTCTCCCAGAGACTCAACTCGTGCGAGATCCAGTCGATCATTCAGGAACGCCCTCTTGGTAAACTCCCCAGGCTCAGCGTATCGAATCCGATGCTTCGAGGGACACTGAGGGATAGCTGCCAAGACGGCTTTAATGGTGGCTGTGCCGCCGTGGATGTGCAGCTCCAGGACATCTTCCCCTGTTACAGTCTTGGGTGAGGGAAAGAAGAGAACGACTGCTTCTGAATCTAACACGCCTCCACCGCCTCCCACAGCTTTGGGACCGAGAAGCGATCGCACAGTCGCATATCTAGGCTTTGGCAGGGTCTTTGACGGACAGAGGGCTCTGTATATCTGAGAATAGCAGCAGAAACAGCATGCCTGGTTAGTACATGTACGTTGTGGTGCTCGGATGGGAACATCTGATCCGCCAACTTACATCAAGACATGACGGGCCAGAGATGCGAATCACGGCGATTCCAGCCTTGCCCTGTGCTGTTGAGAGCGCATAGATGGTGTCATTGGTACCAGCCCCGAACCCACTACCACTGTTGGGCTGCTGAGACACGATGGATTGAGCAGCGTTGGCTGAGAACGGCCTCAGGCTGCGGCTATATGCAGCTCGTGGGCATGAGCTTGAGGGCGAGAGCTCGCATATCCTGATCAATGAGGCAACACCTGAAACTCGTCTGCAGGTGTGAGTCAAGTGCTGTAGCAGCAGGCTGTGGCGGCGCATGGGCGTGTAAGACTTGAGATGGAGCAAGGCTGTGGCTATGAAACTGAATGGTGGCGAGTGCTCATTGCAGTAATCTGTCGAGATGAGGCTGGTGGTGATGGGCGCGAGTGGAAAATTTCAGCAATGCTGAAGTGAGAGATGCGTCCATGCGTGTACATGACGCCTGGCAGCATCAACCAAGCATGAGCGGCGAGGAGTTAGCGGAGAGACACGACCTCGAGACCCATTTACAGCGCCTTTAGCGGTCTCGAAGCCTGAAATGTGCACTAAAGCCAGCCAAGCGGATCGGATCCATTGCGGGAGCGTTGTTCGACATGCCGCGATTGATTGAATCTCGACATTCCAATACTCAATGTCATGCTGATGGCTGTCAAACGGTTAGACGCAACCTGGACACGACAACCGAAGCAGCTCACATATTAAACCAAAGTCTTCCAAAGGACACTCTCTCACTCAAAACAGACATTAGCCACACAGAGCCATGGCCCCCACTGCAAACTCCCACGGCCGCTCTCACAGCCTGCTGCTGCTTCAGCGGCTTCTGAATTTTCGTGATGCCGCCAGCCCTCTGACTCTCCTCCTCGACAATCTCGAACAGCCCGCCCGGCCAGTCATTTCAGAGCTCATGACAAGGGCAAAGGTACTTTTCTACCCATACGGACTCATCGCCACGGCATGAAACAGGCGGACTGACACTGCGGTAGCTGGCAAAGACGAAAATCATCTTCCTGTCCTTCTGCACGGTCCGCAAGCCGCGGGATGCAGACGTCTTCATCAAAGCCGCTGGGAAAGATCTCAACGCAGTGAGCCGGGAGCTCCTGGCACAGTATCCCTCATTTCAGCCAGCCAATATCAAGGATAAGACTGCGCAGAGTAAGTGTGAAGCCCAGTGCTCTCTCTACGTAGGACACATGACTGAGCGAAACCCATATAGGAGCCGTCGTCTTCATCGACTCATTGAATTCTCTCTCATCGACGGCCACCCAGTCTCTCGCCATCTTCCTCTCAAGCATCATCACCCCCGTTGTTTCCATCGTGGGCGTATATCACACCGATGTGCCCGTCATCCTACCAAAGTCGTCCAACGAATATGAGCCTCACCCATTTAGGCTGCTATGCCACCTAGCCACAGCCATCCTCACGCTGTCAAACCTGCGTCAAGAGATTGAGCGGCAAAAGGCGCGCAACAGAAGCGTCGTAGAGCCCGAATGGGGCCTCAAGGAACACCGCGAAGGCATCCTCATCGGCCTCGCAGAGAAGAGCAAGTCCGAGGACGATGCGGGCGTCGTCATCAGCATGGAGCTACGCAGGAGGAGCGGACGCGCTGTCGACGAAAAGTTCATTCTCATGCCGGCAGCAGCAGCAAAGTCCCGGCTGGGCAAGCTTTGTCTTCTCACGGACCATACCATGTTCAGGAAGCCGGATGCCGAGCGGGGAGACGAAGGAGAGGAACAGCCAGAGAGCACGTTTAATCTGGGACTTACGGAGAAGCAGCGCAAGGATAGAGAGGGCATTGTGCTGCCGTACTTTGATGCGCAGACGGATATTGGCGCCGGCGAGGGAGGAAGAATCTTGTACGAGATGGGCAGGGAGGATGATTTCGATGATGAAGAAGACGAGATATGAGGCAGACAAGCTTTGTAATCCAAAACGTCAAAGTGATTCACCGGCAGATTACAAAATCAGGCAGGTCTCCATTTGCTTCCTCGTGGTGAAATCCGAGTGCTCAATGGTCGTCCATCTGAAGACGCACGGCCACGCTGAATCGCTCTCAACACTTTCATAGCGCGCAACTAAGGCGCATAGCACATGAACATGAAAGGTCGCGCCACCAAAATCCCACCTCAGCCACACTCAGCACCTGCAACCCCAGGAACCAACTTCCAGCACAACAGAACATCTCGAGACGATATACATACAGCCTCTGCCTCGATCGGCGCTTCTCCTAGCAATCTGTCCGTTTCTGCTGCGTGCGCCTCGATACTGACAAAGAGTCCCGTCGTCCCCAGTCACCATCTCGACAAGCAATCTCCTCTGAGGGTCGAGCGTCTTCTTGACACGTTTCTTCGCAGAGCCAACGAGTCCAAGCTACGACACATTGCTTCTTCTTCTTCTTCTCCTCCTCCTCCTCCTCTTTACCACATCTTCCAACCCAATCGCCTCTCGCCATGATTCGCTCAACACAAATCTCGAGGCTAGATGGTATGCGCAACAAACCTCCCCCAACGAACCAGCCAAAAGAGCATCATCCTGCAGAAGCAATACTAAACACCCCACGCTCACAGGCCTCATGCTCTGCGCCTCCGTCGACGACGAAGCCCAAGTCCGTCCATGACCCTTTCCCCTTTCTCTCCCCCCCCCCCCCCCCCCCCCCATCAATCTAACGCAAAACTTCTTCCCCAAAACCGCCAGTCCGACGCCGCCGCCCTCAACGAAGTAAAGCAGCAGCTCCGCCAAATCCTCCGCAAGCTCACGCCCACATCGGAGCCCCAAGCCTCCATCGAATCGACCTCGTCCCTCTTCACGATCCACTACCTCATCGACTCCGCCGTCGTCTTCACCGCAATCTGCGAGCGCTCCTACCCGCGCAAGCTCGCATTCACCTACCTCGCCGACCTCGCCCGCGAGTTCACCACCACCTACACCCAGCAGGCCATCCACAACCCGGCCCTCCGGCCCTATGCTTTTATGGAGTTTGACAACTTCATCGCAAAGACGAGGACCACCTACGCCGACGCCAGGGCCGCGCAGAACCTCGACAAGCTCAACGATGAGCTGAGGGACGTCACCAAGATCATGACCAAGAACATCGAGGATCTGCTCTATCGCGGGGATAACCTGGAGCGCATGGGCGAGATTAGCAGTCGCTTGAGGGACGATAGCAAAAAGTACCGGAGGGCGGCCGTGCGCATCAATTGGGAGCTCATGCTGAAGCAGTACGGCCCCTTTGCTGGATTGGGCTTCTTCATCTTGCTCTTCATCTACTGGCGCTTCTTCTAGATGGGCTTGTCTTTGGCCACGGAGAACAAGAAAGCACAGCAAAACGCGAGAGGAGGGGGGAGGGTTGGGGATAGGACAGGCAAACAGAGGCGACACGGGGATGGGAGGGCAATATCGAGTTATCAATGCGCAAAAGACAGCGGGAGCGTGGCGTTGATGGATATCCATTATAATCTATGTACAATTATGCAGTCATGCTTTTATACACTATCAGTGTCTTGATCCTGCTTCTCGTCTTCTCCCGGCATTTGCTTCCTGCCTCTATCGCAGCGCTTCTCTTCATACTGTACTAATCTTGATCCATTGTTCAATAAAGGGGGAATAATAATGCCACCGTAACCTTATTCGCCGCAAACTCCGTATTCAGATGCTTCGCTAGAGCTCCCATCATAGACGTTTGTATCGTCTCTATACCTCTATGCATCGTCTTCTGCCTCAGGGAAGAATAACTCGGAGCCCCAAAAAGTGTCTGCCCTTGTCCTTTTCGTCGTCTTAGGAAAAGTAGGCGAACCAGGAGACTCTTCATGTCTCCTCGACCTCTTCTTTCTCAGCTCCTATGACATTTTGTTGTTCGTTTGCAACACACGTCATCACATGATTCGGCAATTACTCTCTGTCGCCGCTGAAGTCGGTAATGGAATCGGCAACTTGGATGGTCCATGCTGCCACTCGAGATGCTCTTGCAACGATTTGACGTCGTCAAACTCCTCGTCCGGGCGATATGCTTCCTCGTCGTCGTCTTCGTCCTGCGGCTGTTCCCCAATCGCCTCGCAGAGTGGACATCGCAGCCTAGCCTCCCAATCTCCATGTCTTGGTACAATATGGTTCGCAATCGCCACGGGAGCGAAGATGACTTGTTTCTGATGCTGGCCACAGTGAGTCACGCCCGTTGCTTGCCAGTTCGAGGCGTTTGGCAGCAACGATACCGGCGCGTTTGACGAGCCGGGCGGCGATGCCTGGGTAGAGGTTCGCACCGTCGGCATGCGCTCCAGATCCTCCCAGACCAGATGCCCGTCGCAAAAGTCGCAGACGAAGGCAATGTCTTGTTCCCCAAATCGCTGAAAGGTCCCCACGCTCTTGCATGCCAGAAGCTCCTCCGCATAATATCGCTGGTAGGAGCCTTCGTCGGGCTTGTCTCCGGTCCTCGAGTTGCGGAGAGGGGCGCGTTGCTGCCGTTGCACGATATACGCCCCCAAACACAGCTGCGATGCCTCCCGCGCTGATGTGAACACTCGCATTGCCGCTCGGCACTGAGCCCGATGCAGCTCCCGCTTGAGCGACTGTGTCTCGCGCACCCAGGTGGGATCGATGGGACCGCCGGATCGGCTCCAGTCTTTCAGCTTCTCCGTCAATGCCTGGAACTTGGCCCGAATCGCGCGCAACTCCTCTATTGAATCATCTAGCAGCAGCATAAACATGTTAGTCAACCCAAGCAGCCCGGCTGATGATAGGCATCCCGGCATCAGGAAAGTTCTCACGTCTGCGGTCGTGCTCGTATTGCGAGCGCCCGTTGACCAGCGGCCCGAGCTCTTGAAAGTCCTTCCGGGCCTCGTCCAGCACAGCGTCCAGCGCACGCTCCTGCTCGCGCTCGTCCTGCCCCCAATGGCGCTTGTCGGAAAAGCTGAGGATTCGCTGGCCGTCGGTGATGAGATTCGCAATGTCTGCCAGCAGTGTCCCGACCGAGTCGAAGACGCCCATTGCTCTGGTGAGGAGGAAGCGAGAGGATGTCTGGTGGTTGTCGTTGGCATGCGAACCCCGCCTTGCAGCTGACTGAGCGAGGCAGGTTGGCTAGGCCGGAATCTGATGGGACGAGGGAACGCACAGCGTGTGACACGGCAAGCCAGGCGCGGCCGGTTTACTTATGTATCGAGAAACGAGAGTCGAGAACCGACAACCGCTCGTCAAGGGGCCTCGAAGAGCACCCGTCGACGGGCGCGTCGCATGGGGGGGAAGATGCTCCACGGTTGGGTGAAGCTTCTGTGCAGGACACGACAGGACAGGACGTGGACGTGGACGAGATGACGTAGCGCCGGTCGAGGGCCGTTTATTACTATCAAGGTACCGTCGTAGGGGTTCTGGATAGACGGGCCGTGCAATCTTCAACGGAGAGCTGTGGCTGTGGCCAGCATTCGGTCGTCGAACCCCAGACGGGTGGACTGAGTCGCAAAGACGCACGAGAGGCGAGGCTGTGCTGCGCTGCAAACGGTGGGCCGGAGGCTATGGCGGAAAGGGATAGAAATGGACAAGGCAAAGACAAGGCAAGACAAGGCAGGGCAGGGCGGGATAAGTCGGGGTAAGGGATATACGAAGACGCAGGACCAATGACGCACGCTGCTGGACGGAACAAGCAGAAGAGATGGACAATGCGGCAGAAGAGGAGAAGAAGAAGAAGAAGAAGAAGAAGAAGAAGGCAGCTGGACAAAGAAGGGAGCAGCAGGCGAGCAACGAGGGTCGAGAAGTAAAGAGACTGGAGACAAGTTCGGAGAGGGATGGAGATGCAGGAGTGGGCTGGATCTGGGTGTCGCCGGGAGAAACTGCAGGTGAGCGCTTTACAGTCAGGTCAGTATTGGTTACTACTGTAGCTGGAAAGGCCACAGCGCCGAAAACAACAGGAACCAGACCGGAACCCTCTGAGTGAGAGTGATGGGGTCGAGCGCTATCAGACGGGCTCGATGCCGCTGGTTGGAGGCCTTCGGTGGTCCTGTGGGGGAAGAGAAATGGCGCTGGAAGGGGCGCCGGCTTGCTGGGAAGATGCAGGGCAGGGATCCCTCGAGTTCTGCAGGGGTCTCGCGACGCTGTGACGCTTCTTCCCCATGCTGAGCCCGTTCGACGAAGTTGCACTATTCATGCATGTTTGATGACGCCACCTTTTGGGTAATAGAGGATAAGAACGTTGAAGAAACAGATCAGTATGAGGAATGATGGTTTGATCGTCAAGAGGGAGTTCAGCGTGCAGGTAACGTGGATGGAAGACCAGCTACTGCTCATACATAGGGCTGATGGAAGCCATCATCCCGGGCAGCAGAAGCAGCAGTTCATCCGTTGGTGCGTCCGTCAGCTCGTGTTTGGGGGGGGAGAGCGAACAAGACTGGCAGCTGGCCAACCTGAAGCATTTCCCTCCCCTCCTCCTCCTCCACCCTTTTCTGCATCGTCCATCCTGAAACAAGAGCTATTACGGGACTAATACAGGCGTGAGGCCTCATCGAGGGGCTGGAGTTGGCTTGTTATGTTCCTTTGACAGCTCGGCTGATGTTCTTGCTCCCTGGTACTGCACATACCTCACATAGATGTGCCTGGCGATCCGGCTATTTTTATCTCCTCGGTATTAACCTTAAAATCGCACAAGAATCCCATAGCACCTGACATGTTGGCCCTCGCAATTTCACTTGCTAATCGTCTATAATCGGCTGGCCATGAAACCCCAAAGCAAGAAGAAAAATGCAGCTGACCAGTATTCAAGTATCTACTACTATGCTACCTACCTACCTAGGTAGGTACTAATTCGGTGCGGTGGTCGTACATGAATACTCGAAAATGCATATGCACGCCTATTTTCTCTTCGTCGCCTGTCCGGCATCAGCTCCAGTCGCCGTGGCCCCCTCCTTCTCCCCGACAGCATCTTGAATAGCAGCAACAACCTTGTCCTTTCCCTCCTCATCCTTCTTCTTCTCGGCAACTGGTTCATCATCATCACCGCCCTGGCCAAACTCGTTGACGCGAGAGTAGTCGACCCTGTAGGCCCAGCGCTGGTAGAGGTAGATGAAGAAGATGATGTCGTCTCGGAACGTCGCCAGGCGATGCAGAAAAGGCATCTTGATGGTAAAGGCAAACAGGTCGTCGATGAAGGTGTTGAGGAACTTGTACATCATGGCCTTGGCGGGCATGTGCGCCACGCTCTTGAGTCGGTAGTTGATGTACAGAGAGGGCACCATCATCAGGAAGCCATAGGTGTAGACAGAGCCGACAAGCGTGGTGATGACAAACGAGTACCACGACTTGTGAGACTCGTAAACCAGCGAGTAGATGCCGTAGGCAATCAGCAGGGGCACTGCCAGGATGTACATGTACTTGAAGGCAATCTCGTCGTACTCCTTGGTCTTCTCCTCCGTCTCGGTCAGCTTGTGCTTGTCTTCAAACACGAACCAGTACGGAAGAAGCGAGCCCGGGGGTGTCTCTCGGAAGCGGACGTTGACGACGGTGGTGATTTTCCAAAACTCGATAACGATACCGACGACCTGCGAGCCGAGAATCATCCAGCTCGTGTTCTGCGAGTTGTCGAGAAGATACAAAAAGATGACCGTCTGCATGAAGACGTTGGCCAAGATGGAGCGAACGGAAATGCCGACATTGTCCTTCTTCTTGCGGTAGTGAGCAATATCGGATCCAAAGGCAAGCGTCTCCAGGATCATGTGGGCAACGCTCACGACGGCGGTGATGCCGAGCAGGATGGGGTTGGTGTCAATGAAGATTTCCTTGATCATTTCGATCTCGGATCCGTCGCCGCCGCCGGGGACCGGGTTGCCCAGGGCAGCTTGGCGAGCGTTCTCCTTTGAGTTTTGCTCGACGGCAGCCATTGCATAGAACTTCCAGCCAGGCATGTTGTCGAGGTCGATGTGAAGCGGCAGCTCCTTGACAGTCTCGTTCAGAACCGTCATCTGGGACTTGAGCTGCCAGAACGTGTTGACAAACAGAGTCGGGTCTGTGAAGACTTCAGTTAGCTCCATCACTTGCCGATTATGGAGGGGATATAGTGGCAACATACAGTACCATCCATTCTGGCCCGTGCCATCACGCGCGCCAGTTGCCTCGAGGCGAAGGAACCTCTTGAGCGCTGGATGAACAGTATCCAGATCCTTTACACCAAGACCGGGCACAAGGGAAAAGCTGGCATTCTGATGGTAGTAGCTCGCAATGACGGGGCCCGACGTGTCTTCTTCCGGTTCCTCTGCGGGAGCGGGGAGGTCCTCCAGCAGATTCCTCGTCTTGGCCACCTTCTTCTTGGGCAGATACTGGGTAAGAGGGTGCGCAACGTGGTACGCCCGTCCGGGATCGAAGTTGGGCAGATAAGGGTCGAGAACGCTTCCGGAAAGTCCAATGTAGAAGTGACCCCAGAGCGTGCCATTGTTGCGCACGGGTTCCGGCACGGTGAAGGTGGTGTCGACTGACCGCTTGTCCGTCTTGTTGTTCATGTGGAACCGTGACTCGTTGAGCACGACATACTCGGCAGGGACCTGGGCCAGCGGGACGGGGTTGGGCGAGGGCGAGATTGTGACGACGACGTCGACGTAGCTGTCCTGGGGCCAGATGGGGGCGATGGTCTTGGGAATGTGTCTGTAGGTGGCGCCTTCGTCGAGGTGCTTGGGCCGCAGCTGGTAGGGCGGGATCTTGCCCATATTGCCGGGCACGGTGATGGTCTCGCCGGTCTCGGGATGGGTGGTGGTGACGCCCGTCTGATCCTTGGCCATGTAGAAGCTGAGGAAGATGTTGAGGCCGAAGTAGAAGGCGATTCCCATGATGACCTTGTTCATGCTGATGCCCTACAAGACGCGCGACAGCGAGTCAGCACACAATTGACCAGCGACAGGCATCGCAATTCACCGAGGATGAGGGCGTCTCGACTTACACTTCCCTGGTCCTGCTGGCGCCGTGCCGCCTGGCCCGCGGGCCGCTGCACTGCTGTGTCGGGCATTGCGCAGACTGTCGAGCTGTGTCGCGGGAGACGCAGGCAGAGTCAGACGCCTAGTTGCCTTGCAGTGGTAGTCCGGAGAGGAGCTGTTCGCCCTGGAAGCAGAAGAGGCGAGGAGGCCGTTGCGCGTTGACGTCGTCAAATTGTGCAAGATGGCCTTTCGCAGAGCACCAGCAGCTTTGTTGAGGTCCGTACTCCATTTCCATGATGGGACTAGACTGCTGATTGCAGAAAGTGCAAACTGGTGCATGTACAGTTGTCATACTGTGTGACGCAGAATGGTACCTGAGGGGGCGGCAGGCGGCGGCAACCGGAGGAAATCGGCGCCGTTGGACCCATCAGGCCGGGTCGGCGAATCAGCGGCGGGCTCCGTAGCACGAGAGGGAGTTGAAAGAAAGAGAGAAAGAAAGAAAGGAAAGAAAGAAGAGGAAAAGAACCTCATTCCCTCACGCTGAATGTGAGTGGAAGCAGATCATTCATCTTAGTGAGTTTCGCTTCGCCTCTGGGGCCTCTTTGACCTCAGACTATAGGTCGAACCTTGAGGCCTCGGTGATTGTCAAATCGTCTTCTGTGATACATTGTCCCTGATGCGGCTCCCAGAGAACGAACGAGGCAAACCGCCCAGGTGATGCATCTGGAGGCTCTTCTTTGTGTCGACATGTATACATAGGCCACAAAATGGCAAGACTTGATGCGCATGGTTTTTCATCACGGTATCAGTGCAACTCTTTGCCTCAGTCCGGTACGACCTTGGCTTGTCTACCAAGGTAGGTCGGTATGTACACAACGAAAATAACATCTACCTACGTACAAATCCGATCTCGCTCCCTCCACCGCAATGAATGGCACAGCCTCATGTAATGGCGGTATGCAGATATCGAGCCTCGACTTGAAGGACAGCGAACAGCACATCTGTCACTTTTGTGTGCATCCTATCAAGCACAACAGCAAGCCGACTGCCTTGTTAACAGCGAATCCTGAGGTTAGAATCGCTAATGTCTTTCACCGGGCGTGTCCTGCTGACCTTGGTGGTTCGTCGTGCTAAACCACCAACTTGAACCACCACCTACGCCCTGTGAAACCGGCAAATCTTCAGCCAATGAGAACTTGATATTACGAGATAAAGAGAACAACCGAGATCCGTGTCCCAGTGACAGAGAAGCACCCACAAAGGTGCCCAAGTAGGCCGCACCGAGGTCACCGGCGAGCGGATTTGGCAATTCTGGAAATTCCCCCATTCGCACTGGCGCCCCGGCATCTGTCACCCAGACTCCCGCCTTGTCCTGACCGAGCCAAATGCTCACCCAATGACAGGCTAATCTTCAGTCACAATCCAGTGAATTACTTACTAAGATATGGGGGACCGGCGGTGGCCGATGGCTGCCGGGGGGGTCCCTCAGACTAGCGGCAGCCCGTTTGCGCCGCCCGGACTGGAGTTTTGGACCGCAAATTCACATCCGCAGCGTTGCAGCGTCATCGCGCCCCAGTCCCTACTTTTATATCTAGCCGCGACTTCGCCACCTATTTTGCATCTTTCCCATCTTCATTTCTAGTCTTCTTGTTCCTAGATTTCTCTCTTCTAGTCTCTCATTTGACAAAGAGCGAAATATATTACTGCTGACACGCACACGAATCAAAGAGCTGCTGTAGCCTCGCTCTCCTTACGCCGTCTTGGCCCTTTTAACGCCCAACCACTCCTTAGGCGTCTACACCCAACTCTGTCCTGTGTCACCACAATCCTCGTCCTTGATCCTACCTACTTCAATCGAAGACCTCAGTCGACCTCGACCGCATTTCTTTATTTCGACACCTTCCTACGCCTCTCTTCCTGGACCCCGCCAAACTTTCTCAACTCCAACATCAATATCCCCCACCATGACTGCTGATAGCTCCGTCATCGGCCAAAACGGCTCCTCCAACGGCACCACAAACGGCACCACAAACGGCACTCCCCGAACCAAGATCTGCGTATACTGCGGCTCAGCGGCCGGAAATGACCCGGAACATGTCGAAGTCGCCCGCGAGCTCGCCCGCGTCATGGCTGAAAACGACATCGACCTCGGTAAGCCCTACAAGAAAACAACCTCCCCTCTGTTTCCCCTCCTCCTCTTCTCCTACCACCAACACTAGCTAACCTCCTAATTCCCTTACTGCAGTCTACGGAGGCGGCACCGTCGGCCTCATGGGCGAAGTAGCCAAGACCCTCTGCAAGCTCAAGGGCCCCGACGCCGTCCACGGCATCATCCCCGAGGCCCTCGTCAAGTACGAGCGCGACGGCACCTACCAGACCATCAACACGGAGAACCAGTACGTGCCCACCGAGTCCGAGTACGGCCGGACGACCGTCGTCAAGGACATGCACACCCGCAAGAAGCTCATGGCCGAGGAGGTCTTCGCCGGCGGGCCCGGCAGCGGCTTCATCGCCCTCAGCGGCGGCTACGGCACCGTCGAGGAGCTCTTCGAGACCGTCACCTGGAACCAGCTCGGCATCCACAAGCGCGGCATCTGCCTGCTCAACATCAACGGATACTGGGACGGCATCATCCAGTGGGTGGACAAGGCCGTCGAGCAGGGCTTCGTCAAGCTGCCTAACAAGGATATTCTTGTTACCGCCAACAGTGCAGAGGATGCCATTCTGGGACTGATGAACTACCAGGTTTCCGAGGGTACATTCAAGCTGGAGTGGGGCACGCAATGAATGGGATGTATTAGGGGTTCGGGTAGGATAGGATATAGAAGTTGAGCCTGCAAGGCAAGAGGAATGGCTGGATGCCTCAGATTTCACTGTCGATTGGGACTCATTGATTCATGATGTTTTACTGTCTTTTGGTCGTTCTGTTTGGCTCTGTTGTTCCTTGCTTGGTTCTGAGGGATATCCATGGCCTTGTTGCGTGGCTCTTCATTTGCGGTATAGAAGGTCGGTTTTCCAAGAAAGATATATATATCCATAGACAAGCTTTCAATACGTCATTGTAAATGTCATGATTAGGTATCTGTTCTCTTTTACGTTTTGCATTATTGCTTCGTTTGTATCAAAACCTCACTGACTGTGCTGTCCCGAGCAGCCTCTAGTGATGCGTTCATCTACACAAATATCTCCCATCCTCTTCATCAGTGCACCGGTCGTCTAGCTGTCGACATCCATGCCTTCGGCCGCAGTCTCTCCCTCTCCCTCTGCCTCGCCACCTTCACCACCCTCGCCTCCTTGGCTCTCGCTGACGCTCTCGATCCAAGTCTTGACCTCGAAACCGTCGTATAGCTTAAAGGGCTCGATGCTCGGCCGGCCCTTGGGACCCTCTGTCAGACCCACCAATCCCACCGATGTGTTCTCGACCGTCAGCTCCTTGTCCTGTACCAAGCTCTCCTTGAGCGCCCTGAGTCCGTGCTTGACCAGCTCCTCCTTGGAGCAGTCGGCAAACTTGTCAATGTTGCGCTCGAGATATGTCCTGGCCATCTGGCTCCGCGCGCCAATGGCAAACGCCACCATCTCCTCCGTCATGCCCGACGGCTGGAACTCGAACAGGTGCGGGCCGTTCTCGTCGACGCCGGCCACCAGCAGCCCGATGCCGTACGGCCTCTTGCCGTAGACCTGGGTGTTGATCTGTGCCTTTTCGCCAATCATGCCGACCAGCGTGTGTATGGGTATCGGGCGGCCGTACGTCAGCCGGTGGCCCAGGCACTGCTGCTTCATGAAGTTGGACAGGACGCGGGCATCTGACGTGAGGCCGGCGATGGCAATGGCGGTGTGCTCGTCAATCTCGAAAAGCTTCTTCTGGTACGACGACAGTTCCTCTGCGTTTCGCTGTTGCGGCATCAGGTCAGCCTTGCTTGGACTTCCCGGACGCTCTGCTGCTGCTTTGTGCCGTTACGCTGAGGGGTAGTGTGTGGGAAACTCGCCTTGACGGCAAACAGGCCGACGTGTGTTTTGCTGGCAATTCCGACCACGACTGATCCTTGCTTGACGGCCTCGCCGGCATATTCGATCTGGAAGATGCGGCCCTGCGGCGAGCTGGAGGGCAGGGGCAGGTCAGGTCAGCTACTGGGCGAGCTTGGAGCAAGCTGGAGGGGCTTCCACGTACAAGGTGACGGAATCGTTGTCGTAGTTGTTTCTGAACATGGTGACTCGCTGCGATCTGAGACTTTTGGAAAACAGGGAAACGAGAACAGGATATTGTTTGCAACGGCGCAGCGACGAGAAGGGAAGAGGGCCGTTTGGAGCTGGCAGGCTTGGTTTGATGCGGGAGACGCATCCAAGATCCAAGATCCAGGCAACCTAAGCTTCGTCGCCTTGCCGTGGCTGGAGACGCAGTCGTGGCTGGTGAGTGGCGCGGCTGCGTTAGTCAGCAGTTGCAGCTGCACGAATTCACCAGCACTGTTTGAGCTTGTACGGAGCATGGTGAACCGGGTCGGAAGAAACCGAGCTGGAACTCGACAGATATCGACAACAGGTTCATCATGACTACCTACTCGCAGTTAGGTCATCGCCCTTTGAACAGACTTGATACATCATATGGCAGTAAAATAATTTGGAAATCATCGAAAAGTATCTCATAACATGTACATGAATCCAGTACTACCATGAATGCCAGGGTCTGATCGCTCAAGCTCACAGCATGCCCATCCAATCGCCTCCGAGAGCGGCCGGTGCGGAGTCGGGCAGCGTCAATGCAAGATCGATGTCGTGCCTGAACTCCGGCAGAATCTCTCGAGTTGTCATATTTTGACTCACTTTGAAATCAATATCCTCAACTGCTCCCAGAATTGCATCGTCGTCGGTGCCCATTTGAGACCAGTATCTCCGTGACTCACTCGGAGCTGCAGCTTTGAGTGGCTTATAAGTTAGTACTAGTAAAATAGTCGCCGATTTCATCGAGCTTCAAATTTAGACCCTTTTTTGCAAGCCGCTCACTCACTCCGCCATTCTCACTCATCCCACGGCCGTCCCCTCCGGTCATACAACACCAATCAATCAGGAGAAGAAGGTAGAGAAGCATAAAACATGCCCTCCAGAGACGAAGTCACCTACTTCGGGGCCGGGCCAGCCCTGTTGCCCACCTCCGTCCTCGAAAAGGCCGCCCAGGCACTCGTCAACTACAACAACACCGGCCTGGGCCTCGCAGGTATTCCAATCCCCATCTCAAACCGCGTCACTCTGTAACAAGTCAAAAGTCCCCAGCTGCTGAAATTGAAGCTGGGCAGAGCACTCCCACCGCTCCGAGATTGCAAACACCATCATCAACGAGGCCAAGGCCGACCTGGCCGCCTTCCTCGACATCCCCGACGACTATGACATCCTCTTCATGTCTGCTGGCGGGACCGGCCAGTTTTCTTCCACGGCCTACAACCTGGTCGGCACGTGGGTGGCCAACCGGCGGCGCCGCATCTTCGGCACGCCCCGGGAGGAGGGCGACGGCAAGCCGGCCGAGATGCAGCAGCTGCACGACGCCGTCGAGAACGATCTCAAGATGGACTACATCATCACCGGCAGCTGGTCGGCCAAGGCCGCGGCCGAGGCGGCCAGGCTGTACGGCCAGGACCACGTCAACGTCGCCGCCGACGCCCGGCTCGTCAACAACGGCAAGTTCGGCATCATACCCGACGAGAGCACCTGGAAGCTGTCCGAGGACGCGGCCCTCGTGTACTATTGCGCCAACGAGACCGTCGACGGCGTCGAGTTCCAGGACTTCCCCCAGCGGCTGCTGCCCAAGCCGAACGGCCAGGGCCCCATTGTCGTGGCCGACATGAGCTCCAACATCCTGTCGCGCAAGATCCCCGTCAAGAACTTCTCCGTCATCTTCTTCGGCGCCCAGAAGAACCTGGGGCCGGCCGGCATCACCGTCGTCATCATCAAGAAGAACCTCATCGCGCCCGTCTCTGAACAGCCCTCGGCCGCCATGATGAGGCACCTCGGGCTCGCGATCCCGCCCATTATCCTGCAGTACGACTCTATCGCCAAGAACAACAGCCTTTACAATACGCTCAGCATCTTTGAGTAAGTTCGCTTCTGTCTGCTCCTCGATTCATCCACGAAAGCACGTGCTAACTCCCCCGTGTCAAAGTGTCTACATCGCCGGCCAAGTCCTCAAGAAGCTCCTGGACACTTACCCCGACAAGGTCAGCGGCCAAGAGGCCGTCGCCAAGCAAAAGGCCGACCTCATTTACGGCGCCCTGGACGCCCATCCCGACGTGTACCGCGTCGTGCCGGACAAGTCGGTGCGCTCCAGGATGAACATCTGCTTCAGGGTGACCAAGGGCGGCGATTCCGAGACTGCTGAGAAGGACTTTTTCGCTCAGGCCGCTGCTCGGGGCCTCACCGGGCTCAAGGGACACCGCTCAGTTGGCGGCGCGCGTGCCTCCAATTACAACTCCATTTCTCTGGAGGGAGCGCAGAAGCTGGCTCAGTTCATCACTGATTTTGCAAAGGCTCCGTAAGAGGTTTAAATCTTGAGACGGGTGCGTCGGTCAAGTGACGGACTAAGTAGGTGTCGGTTTTGGGTCAGTGAGGGCGTTTTCAAGGCATGCATCGATAGGACGATGCGAGTCTATATGTGTACATGCACCATGGCGTGTATCTGTATAGGCATATCTACGAATCAACTGGGAAAAAGGGTTGTCCAATCTCAACATGTGCGACACCATGGCATCGGTTATATGGCAAGGAGGCAAAAACATTACATCAAATACAGACGTGTCTATAGCCATTATCGAGCTATACGATTCCTTGACACGAAGAGTACCTGGTTTCCTGGCTTCGTAAATCGACATGCCGTAGGATTGCGCAATCTGTATGTCTCTATAACAGTACCGTGAACGCCCATACCAGTTCCAAATCAAAATGTTCCTCCATAAACCTACGCCGCAAGCTCATCAATCTCCATCTGATCGTCCAGCCTCCTAGGCATGACTTTTTGCCTCACCACCGGACCGCTCGCATCCGCCTTTGCACCGCCAGCTGCATCAACGTTCGCTTCTCCAAATGCCCTCGCGTCTTCTTCGTCTCCATCCTCGTTCCCCTCCTTCTTCTCAGCCCCATTCACCCCCCTCACGATCCTCATCCCCGCCGGGATCTCGACTCCCCAGTCCTCCTCCAGCCTCTCTACCAGAAACTCATCAAAGTCGCCCGCCTTCCTCCTCTCGTGCGCGCTCCATGCTGACGCAAGCCACTCGGGATCGTGTCGGCCCTGCGCAATGTTCTCCGTGTACGCGGCGCAGTCGTAGCGGAAGCTGTCGTCATTCATCAGCGACGCGAGGTCAGGGCGCGCGTCTGCCGTGCCGGCGTCGAGAATGTGATCTCTGTCGGGGAAGAGGGCTAGAATCTCCGCCTTGTCGGCTTGGTCTAGGCATGACCATGCCATGGGGTTGCATAGGATGCTCTGCTCGTCTCGTTAGACTTGGTCATGGCTTCCACCCACAAATATCTTGACCAGGCGACCCAGGGTGAATAACGTGAGTGGGAAAATAACTGAAAAGGGTGGACTAACCCTCAGATTCGCCGTGGCTAGAGGCGACTTTGGATCCTTGATGATACTCTCGGCGTCCCATTTCGGCTTCCTGGGCGCCTTCTTCTTCGCAGGGGTTCTCCTCTTTGGCCGTCGAGGGATGAATTTGGACTCGTCCTTGGCTGGCGATTCAGCGACCTGGGTGGGAGTCACCCTGCGCCGCAGTCGCGCAGGCGTGAATGGCGACTCGAGCTCGGAAAGCGACGAGAGCGTTGAAGACGGCGGTATCACGGCCTCGTTGGGTTCTGGCTCTGCGTTTGATTCTGGTCGTGGAGTTGGCTCTTTGTCGGCCGGCGCTGAGCCCGTTGCCGACATTTTTGGGTGGTTTGATGATGGGGGGGCTGAGGTGTTGGGATGAGGCTGTTGATGATGTCGGTTGTGCGTGTGTCGTTTGCTCAAGGCGTGGTGAGATGAGTTGTGAAGGTTGGAGAAGTTGCCATGGCGCTGAGGGTGCCAAATTGATGGAATATGAGCACAGAGAAGGCGATTGATTGCTTTATGATGTAAAAAAAGAAATACCGGATGATTCTAGCAAGTTTAAATCACGTTGAAATTGTTAAGATGAAAGTAAGATATGTAGCATCGGATTCGCCCATGATCTCAATATAGAGCTCTAGGGTAGCATATATTTCGGGTGTTTTCAATAGACGATTGTAACTCTGCAAACACGCCGATGCAAGTAAATCTAAGGCGCGTCTTATGGTGGGAAAAAGGTCAAGGATGTTACAAGACCCTCGGCAGGTTTCCATGGAACAGCCATTCAATGCTGTTGGCGATCCTTTGGGGCTTTCTTTCAGACAACTCCATTGCATTCACAAGTCCTAAACACTCCCAAGGCTTTAAGTGATCCTGCGTAACGGACAGAACAATATGTCTATGTTTACTTGCCACAAACCGAGTCATTACTCTCATATTGATAATACCGTACAGTTGTCTCGACCAGTACTTGCGTCTCAGGCTGCGTCCCCCAAATAGCAACCTTACATCACACAAGATGATATCACGGAACTTGACTCCGCAACGTACTACGCATTATCTACAAACTCTTGCTATTCTTAACGCTGTAGACACTAGAGTCCTTCCAAGCAGCATCAATACATCCATCTTGGACCCATTGAATATTCAGCTTGTTCCACGAATCATTCATGTTCCCTCTATAGGATTCTCGACAATAGCGGGTGTGACTTTACAAGATAGTAATACATGGACACCCCATGCAGACTGACATTATCCCTCCAATTTAGCCGGTATATTATGAGCCACAAGCCCCATCCCAACGATGATCGACCACCACCGCACAGGGTTCAAGCAGCTTGCACTCTCATTTGATAGCTACAGGTACCTACCCGGCAGAGTCGTTTCCTTGGAGTAGTGCAGCTCTTCGCTATTGAATTGCTTGGAATGACAGATATTGACGATTCGCCTCAGCTTACAGACAACATGTTCTAAACTGCGCTCACAAGAGCGGAGAGAGACGGTAACCACACGACGGATTGCCTCGACGCACATTCACTACACTTTGAATGCATACGATGATAAAAATCATCAGCAAAATGGAGAGTCTATCTAAGCAACCATGCTATACTCCAGAGCTGTGGCTGGGCATCTCCTCTTCCTCTTGTCCACTTCTCCACACTCAACCCCATCCTGCCCCTCATTCGTGATGCCGCAGTCTGATATCACCCAACTTCGGCTCAATCGCCTCCGAACCAAAATGAGCTTGCATGAACTCCCGTCTATCTCTGCACACGCCCATCTAAGCTATACTCATGGTCTGACCTATGCCCAAAACTCTGGAACATGAGATGAGATAAAAAGCTCTGCTAAACCTCATCCATGTGAACAGCGCCAGGACTTATCCAATCCCTCGATTACACCACCAGAGCAGCTCACATCTCACAACAAGCAGCTCACCCTTAAAAAAGCCTCCAAACAATGGCTCCCCTCTCCCTCGGCTACAACGACAAGCACCCCTTCACCCAGGTCCCCCTCACGGACCGCGCCTCTGTCCAGGACCTCCTCCGCACGCTGCTCGACCCCCTCGAGCCCTTCTTCTCCCCGCAAAAGGCCCGCGTCAAGTGCCCCGGCGCCACGGCCGTCCGCTTCGACCAGACCGCGTCCGAGATCGAGGGCCTCTGCCGTCCTCTCTGGGGGCTGGCTTGTCTCCTGGCGGGTGGTGGCCAGTATCGCGGCACCGAGTGGTGGATTCAGGGCATCAGGGCCGGCACGGATCCGGAGAGCCCCGAGTATTGGGGGTATCCTCGCGACAATGACCAGCGGATGGTGGAAATGTGTCCCCTGGGTAATCAACCGACTGTGCCAATTGATGGTGTAGACCGAGAGAGACTGACAATTGATCGTCTTGTATAGGCTACGCACTTGCAGTAGCACCAGAGATATGGAAGGGTCTCTCGGAAAAGGAGCGCGTCAACGTCGAGAACTGGCTTGGAAACTCCATCAACGAGAAAAAGTATGTTAGCACTTCCCAAGAGATGAGTTATAACGCAAGTGTATGGTTCCCCCGAAACCACTTACTGACTGGCTGGATCACGCAGCATGCCCAACACCAACTGGCTCTGGTTCCGCGTCTTCGCCAACCTCGGCCTCAAGCAAAACGGGGCGAAGTTCTCCCAGGAGCGGCTGGACAGCGACATTGAGCACCTCAACACCTTTTATCGAGGAGAAGGCTGGTCCAACGACGGCCCCGAGGGCATCCATCGTGAGTTCCGTTCTCCGCCCCTTATCTCTTCCACTCTCAGAAACCCCCCCCCTTTTCAACCCTTTTCTAAGCCACTCACGCCCCTTGCTTGTTGCGCAGAAATGGACTACTACTCCTCCAGCTTCGCCATCCACTTCCTTCAGCTGCTCTACGCCAAACTCGCAGGCGAAGCAGATGCCGCCCGCGCAAAGGAGTTCAAGCAGCGTGCTCAGATCGCCGCCCTCGACCTCATCCACTACCACGACGAGATTGGCCGAGCCATCCCCTTTGGCCGCAGTCTAGTTTACCGCTTCGCCATGGTGGCTTTCTGGGGCGCCCTGGCCTACGCGGACGTGGACCTGCCCGCTCCCCTGACGTGGGGAATGGTCAAGGGAGTCGTTCTCCGCAACTTTAGGTGGTGGCAGACGCAGAATGACATCTGGACGTCGAGCGGGACGCTGTCCCTCGGGTTTTGCTACCCGACCATGTATGTACGTAGTATCATCATCGCCCTTTGGACGGCTTCTCATGCAGGTCCCATGTTGCTGCCAGTGCTTGGATCGCTGACCCTCTGTTCGCTTGCACCGCATGGTACATAGATTACCGAGAATTACAACAGCCCCGGAAGTCCTGTGAGTAGCACCAATGCAACCCAATATCTCGGCGTCATCTTGAGCAAGCCTCATGCTAACCGCTGCCGAACGGCGACTTTTAGTATTGGGCTTGCTTAGCCTTCATCTGTCTGGCGGTTCCCGAGCAGCACCCGTTCTGGACGTCCAAGGAGGAGCCCATCAGCCCCCAGATCCCCAAGATCAAAGCCATACGGCAGCCAGGTCACATTACAAGGTGAGTGCAGCCTCATTTATCCACCAATGACGTGACTGGAAAGCGCCTTGCTAACTCTTCGATGCTCTCCGCGGCTGCTGTCCACAGTTACCTCGGTGGACATTGCATGCTCCTTTCTTCGGGTCAAGCGTGTGGTTACCCCATGAAGGCCACACACGCCAAGTACGGAGGCTTTGCCTACAGCAGCGCCTTTGGCTACTCCGTTCCATCCGGGCTCTTCTCCCTGGAGCAGTATGCCTTGGCATCCCAGCTGGGACTCTCGGACGACGGCGGCGAGTATTGGAAGACGAGGAGACTGTCTGAATACGCCGCTGTCGAGGACCGAGATGGCCAGCCAATCCTGGTTTCGATCTGGAAGCCCTTTGCTGATGTCAAGATCAAGACGCTGTTGATCCCTCCCGTTGAGAGCACGCCAAACTGGCATCTGCGGGTGCATCATATCCATGCTGGTCGCGAGGTCATGACCGCGGACGGCTCCTTTGCCATTCGCAACGTCAACTCCGAGAATGGGAGATACCTGGAGCTTTACGACGAGTCAAAGTGCGAGGGCACTAGCCCCAAGATCATTGGCAACTACGACACCAACACCCCAGCTGGCTGGGACACGGGACTCAATGGTGCCTTTGTCGTCGCGCCAAATACCGGAGCGGTGGGCATCAAGGCTCTAGAACCTCAGGGACAGCGACAGGCCATGCTCGTGAATGCCGACCCCAACACAAACCTCATGGAGAGTCGGACAACGATACCGACCTTGCAGCACACGATCCCGCAGGGTCAGGGGGTGTGGTATGTGTCCGCCATTTACGCCAAACCAGCTGGACCCGGCGTGCCCAAAGAGAGCTATCTGGATGGCTGGAAGAGCCCTCCTGCGATCCCCAACTGGCTGCTTCAGGAGATGGCAGCAGATGGCGGGATGTAACGCTGCCGAACGTGGCCGCATCTGGCTGTGATCTTCTGTCGACATAGCATTTCCCCCACGTGAAGGGAGCTGTGTAATATGGCGAGAAGCGATGGAAGGGCATGAACTACTAGTCTTAACAGGAGTTGGCTGGTTCTGCCTAAATCAACCGGAACGCGGCAGACTGAGGGACGAGTCGTAGAAATAAACTTGCATCTACATACCTTGCTTGCACCGGTGCTACTTTGAGCTTCAACACCAACAACCTTATGCTGCTGAACCGTAAGGTGCAGCGTCAGACGCCACCAGAAGAGGCAAGATGCCAGTTCGTCTCCGCACGAAATTCGACGAAGGTTCATGTTGATTGCATGCAACCTGCCAAACTGCTTCAATGAGTCAACTGCGAGCAAGTCGACAGCCAATGGCGGAGACGCTGAGGAGTGAAATTCCATGAATCCCAGCAGCTCACGTTGACTCCACCCGGAAGCATCTCGCACGTCACGAGAGGTATTAGGCATGTCTGAGCATCGCCAGTCCCCTCGTGGATGATATTTCCCGTACAGGTGGCCTTGCCCAGCTTACCAGGGTGCCTGGCAGGTGCGCACAGGGTTGCATCATTGTAACGGCTGGATTCTCTCTGGGCTGTCTGACACACAAATACACACACGAGCCTCTTGAGCTTCCGGAGCTGGGATTCGATGGATCCGCCGCAACACCGTCTCGCGCCCAGAATAACTCTTGCTGGGGGGGGCTGATTTTCCAGCTATGACCTCTGATGCAAAAGGGCTCCCTGTCCAGGTGATGCTAGCAATAGCGCATCTCGATGGATTTGGCGCCGTCCAACACAAAATGCGGAGAAACCTGGAGAAGGCGAATCATGGCCCAACCCAGCGCGGAGCAACGACAAAAGGGTAAAAAGAAAAAAGAAGGGCACAAGATTAAACGTTTCCGCCTCCATTCCCCCCACCATCACGGCCCCACAGACGGCTAAAGAGAAAAGGTCCCCTGCTCGATGCTTAAGTTTCTGAAGAAGTCGAACAGAGAAGCGTGGTAATGCCACATGGCTTGGCCGTGTACAATACAGATATCCGCGTCTGAGGCAGCCATAGGGCGTGTCGTAGCACGGACACCGAAAAGCCCGAGAACTTGTGGTATTCGTGGTCGCACTATCTCAGAGCCTACCGACATCATGCGTCTTCATGAACATACGGAGTATGTACAAGTATTGGCGGGCTGAGGGAAATCCGGGGGAGGGGGAGCTGGCTTCTCCACGCATTCGGCATCCTGTGTAAGTCCAGCAAGGCACCGCGAATGGCCAGAAAGTCAAAAGTGCACTCATACTCATACTCGTACTCTCTGTTGGATCCGTGTCTGTTCGTCCGTCATCACGAGATGGAGATGCCATCGTGCTTGGCGGTCAGTCGTCCGTTCATTGGTGGGACGTGGTTCTTCCGCTGGGAGATTTCTCCTCAATGCAGAGCCGAAGCCATAGATCCCGGCCCGTGTCTTTGCACTAAGGTCATGGCGCTCCACGACGGGTGAGGCAGCGCCTTGGCTGACCAGACACAGCCTGGCAGCAGGCTGCTGTGCTCTGGATGTGTGCTAGCGACTGCTAGCCCATGCAAGAAATCCAGGGCTCCTTCTGTTGCGGCAATGGTTGCCTCGAGGCGCTCAGCTTCCCGCCCCCTAGCCAGCACCTGGTGAGCTTGACGCTGCGTTCCGTGTTGTCCATGGTGAAGACCGAAGAGGAGAGTCGTTGCCAGCGGATTGCTGGAGTCGACTGATCGCCCATTCGTAGAATAGAGAAAGTCGAGCAAGGAACATGGGGAGGAGGTAAAAGGGCCGACAAAGAAGGGCGCCGGCCATGGGGGCGACAACCCATTTTCTCGTGTCCCTCGAGGGACTTTGCAACAACGTCCTCGTTCGTCAAGAATGTGGAAGCACTACAGCGTACAAGCCATTGTTGGCGAGCGAACGCGTGTAACGTCCATGTGCGATAGAACGATGCCGTGTAGCCAGCTCTGTCGTCTCGCCCTTTCTGTAATGCTCCGTTGAGGCGTACGCAGTCTGCAGTTGGTGCCACCCTCCACGGCTAATATCATGCATCTCAGCACCGCTCGTCACAGCATTCTCTTCTGCATCCCACACTTGCCCGCAAGTGCCAGCCGTGAGCCCTGAGGTCTGAGGTATGATGTAGTATAGCCAACGACCAGATCATCGCTTCTCTCCACCCGGTGGTCGATGGCCAAGAGCTCCCGGGTGCCCACCCCCCCTCAGCCCGTAGGCTCGAGAGTCTGGGGAATTTGGGACCGGCCGTTTTACTCGTCTGATCGCTCCGTGCATCTTGGGGGGGTTGCCCTAGCCTGCTCCTTTCGCTTGCATTCGCCCTTTGGGCATGTTCCTCGACTGGGATGGACCAGGGTCTGCTCTCCAGCCCAAGAAGCGGGTCGCCCGTCCCCGGCTGTATCAGCAAATAGTACATATCAGCGTCGCACGACCTCGTCCGCCCGTGTCTCTCCTCTCCTGTCTTCTCGTCCGTCTCCTTGTGAATTCCACGGCTCTGTCTTGGTCCAGGAGTCGTCCATTTCAATTCGCTGCTCAAGGCTATCGACCGGAGCCTCGAGTCCTGCAAAGGACAGACAATTCTTCTCTTCTGTGGTACATCGTGGTGCTCCTTTGTCAAGTCCACGCTCAACACTACCGACAACTGCCGGGTCGGATCCATCAGCCAGGCATTAAGCCAAGTCGACTATAACACGCCGCCACCATGGGCGTAACATCCAAGTTCCTGCGCGCCATCGTGCGCAACGAGGCCATGCGTACCGATCCCGACGAAATCTATGGATGGCGTGTCTTCACCCTTGTCTTCTCGGCATGCTTTGGTGGCATGCTGTTCGGTTGGGACACGGGTTCCATCGGCGGCATCCTGACCATGCCTGCTTTCCAGGAGAAGTTCCATTATGCGCACAGCTCGCCCAAGGCCAAGTCCAACATGAACCAGAACATTGTATCCACGCTGCAGGCAGGGTGCTTTGCCGCATGCTTCTTCACCAGCTGGGTCACGGATCGATATGGTCGCCGATTTGCCCTGATCGCCGCAGGACTTCTGACCATTGTCGGCATCATCTTCCAGGCTGCGTCTGCCGCCGACGGCACGCTGGCTGTCATGTATGTCGGCCGATTCATTGCCGGTCTGGGGATCGGTGCTGCATCGGCACTGACTCCGTTGTATGTGTCCGAGTGCGCTCCTCGTGCCATTCGAGGTGGCTTGACAGGTAAGAGCAGAGAGCTTGGGCGCTTGATGACATGAAATCAACCTACACTCTGGACTTGTACCTCCCTCCCCAACCTCAGGCATCAATTCATCTGCCCGGGGACACCGCCCTACCTACTACCTACTTCAGCCCTCGATGACTTCTACCGTACCTAACATGATCATTCGCAAACAACGTAAAAATGGATACCAAAAGCCATGCTGACAATGTTGGAAAACAGCCTTTTACCAACTCTTCAATGTCTTCGGCATCATGCTCGCCTTCTGGTATGGAAACGCCCGATCCTCTTCCTCGACATGTTTTCGATAACAATCAACTTACAAAGATGCCATCTTAGGGTCAACTACGGATGCCTGTTGCACGTCTCAGCCCCTGCCATCTACATCATTCCTCTCACCCTGCAGGCTCTTCCAGCCGTGTAAGTGCTCTAAGAACTCATGGATTGCAGCCGTTCCGCTTGCTGACAGCAACGCAGCTTCTTGATGGTTGGCATGTTCATTTCTCCTGAAAGGTACGATTCCTTACTGGCCTTTTGCGATGGCCTCAATAGCTATAAGAAGCATCGTGAGACTAACCCCCCCTGATACAGCCCGAGATGGTGCGCCAGACGAGACGATTGGGACCGTGCCACGAAAGTCCTTGTAAAGCTCCGAGGGTAAGACATATCAGAGCCACTAGCCGTGTTTACAATGCGATTGTCTGACAGTAGGGGGTGTATAGTCTGCCTGCCGACTCGGAATACGTGCAGAACGAGATCCAGGAAATGGCGGATCAGCTTGAGCATGAGAGACGCCTGACTGGAGACGCCACCTTCAAGACGCTCCTCAGGGAAATGTGGACAATCCCTGGCAACCGCAACCGAGCCGTCATCTCCATCCTCCTCATGATCTTCCAGCAAATGACTGGTGTCAATGCCATTGTAAGGCCCTGAACCTTGAAGCTGTCTCAACCTTGTCGGACCTGGAGGGGAAATGCTAACGGTGGACGACGTAGAACTACTATGCTCCCCAAATCTTCACCAACCTTGGAATGACTGGCAATGACTCTTCGCTGTTCGCCACTGGAGTTTATGGCGTGGTCAAGACGGCAGCTTGCGCTGTCTTCCTCGTCTTCGTGGCCGACTCGCTTGGTCGACGCTGGAGTCTGCTGTGGACGGCCGCCGCCCAAGGCATCTTCCTGTACATTGTGGGCATCTACGGACGAGTTCAGCCCCCTATTGCTGGACAACCGGTAAGTAACGATGGCGTGCGCGGATGCATCGGGTTTTCCGCCCCCAATGCAGCTATATCGCCTCGATGGACTTGTTGGCTAATTCGCGTGCTCTAAACCCTCTTCTAGGTCACGGCGTTCGGATATGTTGCCATCACCTGCATTTATCTATGGGCTGCGTCGTTCCAATTCGGCTGGGGCCCCGTCTGCTGGATTCTGGTCAGCGAGATACCCACTGCCCGACTGCGTGCCATGAACGTGGCCATTGGCGCCGCCACTCAATGGCTCTTCAACTTTGTTTGTGCTCGATGTAAGCCACCAGCCGCCTCCCCCTTTTTTGTCATGCCATATGTTCCACAGTACCTTTGGAAACATTTGCTAACTAATCCACAGCTGTTCTCACCATGCAGACAACGATGGGCAAGGCGGGCTATGTAAGTTGATAATCTCATATTGAAACCTCAGAACGGGTGTGCTGACTCGATTTCTCCCTAACAGGGCATGTTCTTCATGTTCGGAACCTTTTGCTTCATCATGGGCATCTTTGTGTGGTTCTTCGTGCCTGAGACCAAGGGTCTTAGCTTGGAGCACATGGACGACCTGTTTGGCGTCACGGAGCTCGTCAAGAAGGTGGAAGCTGAGCCTGAACTTGGCCACCCGGATAGCATTCGGGAGGAGCGGGCAGACATCAAGTCTTGAAAAGTCCCTCTCCTTGCATTCTGTGGCGCTTGATGCTCGGCTCGACGGACGCATGGAAGACGGGTGGATCTGCGTAGCGTGCTCAGGCGGTTCTTGCTTGCCTTGTTGTTGAATTCTAGTCCCTTTACCATCAGACGCTTATTTTCTTCTCAAGTCGTACTTTGTCCCGTTGTGTTGATTTGATATTGATTGTGTCTGCTGACAGATACACACTTATATGAGGGCACAGGGGGGGCGGGCCAATCAGGGGTGCATGTTGAGTGCGACTTGCGAGAGCCGATTTGAGCCAGCCTCGGATCTAGGGAACCACTGGACCTGTCATGATGAACTAAGACTCGCCTAAGGGGTTCGACGGTGATGTCCTGTCGCCACGATGCCGCTAGAGTGACACTTGGAGCCTCGCTAGCTCCCCTCGTTGCCGTGAGCTGCCAGAATGATACAGAATCATCCATCGCCCAGCTCCTTGACTCGAGGATGGTTCGGCGCAGCAGGATTCAATGTCAACCAGAAGCGCATGTTGCCCCCAAGTTGAGGTCGATTCCGTCAGCTGGACGCTTTTAGTGACGTTGTTTCCATGTCGTGTGTTAGCGGCAATCGGGCGGCATGGGAGGAAGCTCGGGGGTTCGCCTTGTAGTCTACATGTAGTATGGAGGGCTCCAGGTCCGGAGCGACACATCCATCCATCCATCCAATGCAATGTACTCTATTAGCGGCGCTGAAGCCGCAATTGCGGCACATGGTGAGCCGCATGGCCCTGAACTTGGGTATCAAGATCTGTGATTCAACAACGTTCGGGTGTTTGTTGCGGCACGATAGCATCTGCGGCAAGTGCACAAATTTGCTCATCTGTTCAAATCTATACCTCACTCTATAGTACAAGCATGCGCTTGCGAGCCTGTTGGCGTGTCAATGTCTGTGGGATTCAGGTACCTAGATGTAAGTCGTTGTCTGTTCCGCCGCAGGCACCGAGCCCGGGCCGGAAGTGCTCGGCAGCGTCGGCCGCCCATGGGGCCTCCGGTGGCAAAAGCGTGCCTACGCGGGAGGTGCCGCTGATTCCACAGCCAGAGTTGCCCAAAGCGGAACCTGTCGTCGATACAAGGCTGACGAGACGAAAGAGAACGCCTATCGCCTAATGAGCGAACATGTACTACTCAGTGGCTTAGACGTTTCGTTCGTGGCCAACGGACTCCCTCTCATGTATCTCGCGCGGCCCCCGCTCTCGGCAGTTGCAGACAAAACTTAGACGGAATACATGGCATGTACTCCCTCCTGAGGGCTTGTGAGATGACATCTACTTTTTCCGCCAACCGTCGACGGCCAAATATCGTTCACCGGCTACATCTCCGAGTCAGGTCTTGCCTCGAACAACAAACTCTATGTACTTCCCGCTCAAACCACCCCCCTTTGACTCTTCGCGGGTCGCCTCCCCGGCGCATGCCTAAGCCTCTGTTGGTCTATTTTGCATGCCATGACATGGAGCTTTGTAAGGCAAAGACAAGATAGAGAGGAAGCTTACATGTACTAGACCAGCCCTACAAGGCGGCCGAGAGGCGTGAACCGACAACGGGTCTGGTATCACCATCGATAGGCCCGAGGTCGTCCGGTCCGGTGGGGGCGTAACCGACCTACCTACCTACCTATGGGGACAATGTGCCCAGGACAAGAAGCTATGGACCTATCTATGGCGATGGATTCAGGCTACATGTTTGCTCTGGGGCCGGATGTCATGATCTAAGCAGGCACTGGGGGCCGTCACTGGCTGATCCGTCCGGTCTTGAACGTGAATATCGCCGCTCTCAAGTCCGGCACATGCCGTTAGGCTGGATGCAGCCTGGTTAAACGATTCAGTCGCAAGAGAAGAGGGACGATGTGGAAGAGCTACGCTCGGCTGGGTACCTGTGTTGCTCGACATGGCATCGAGTACATATGGCTCTGCGCTCTTCCATTCCCATTCTACCTGTCTTTCCTTACATAGTGCCTCACCCTCATTCTTTGGTACTTGTGTGTCTTCTGGTTTCCTTCATACACTCTTTTTCATCTCAAGTCTATTCGTTGCTCTGTTGTCGTTCACCTCAAGTCTTCACCTCTCGCCATCTTCGCTTTGCTCGATCTGTGTGGCTCGGCTTACACGTGTGTTGCTGTCCGCTGCTGCAGGTGGTACCCTTGACGAGTAATACAGCGAGCGACGCCCTATAACTCGGGCACCATGTCCAGCGACAACCGGCCTGCGCAACCGCCAAAGGCTGCTCCCCAGCGCTATAGCCTGCTGAGCCAGAGCCGCCTGCTGGACGTGACTCCGGCCGTATTTCGTAAGTGCAGCCTCCGTGAACTTTTGGATCTTGATCGCATCAAATCACCTCACCCTCACCTCCATCTGCTTGCTATACACGTATTAGCCCTGTTCCTTGCCCATCATATCACACACAGCTGTCTAGGTAAGGTCCATGTTTTGGTCCTATGCGGCAATCGCCCGGGCTGTGTGCAGCTCGACGCCCTCTTTCCGTGACGATGCCGTCACTGGCTGTTTCTCTCGTCCAGTGCCGGAGATGGCAATTTCTTCCCTGATTTATGATGGCTTGGATTTGCTTTCAAAGACACCCGGCACTTGCAATTGATGTCATTTCAGTCTGGCATTCCAGAATGCCGAGGAAAGTTTGACACATTTTCTTAGGCATTTATTTTTCTATGACCTCGTTGTGTCCATGTCAATATGTTTCATTCAGCATCTTCACTAACACCTTAGTCTGCCGGACTTGATTCACATATTTCATAAACACCTTTCCTTGTCTCACGTCCTCTCTTTCCTCTCCACCCTTTTCTTCTTCCTTTTCTTATTCTTCTTCCTCTCCATTTTCTCGCACTGCCAATGCCTGCGAGTCCTGCCAGCTGATCAGCCCCAATTACCCTCCATCCCCCCCTCGCGTCCTTTCGTACAATGTTCTCGATAGGACAAACTATAAGCACCCACGATGGCTGACCAAGAGAGCCCGACAGCGACCCATAATTCACCTCGAACGTGGCTCCTGACTGCATCGCTGTCACCCTTGGCCGTGCGTCTGATCCGGCAGTTGCTGTCGCACGGCGACAACGTCGCGGCCTGCTTCCCTCCCCTGGAGATTGAGCACGAGGAGAGAAGTGCCGAGTTTCGCGAGCTCATCAATGAGTGCACTAGTGGGCGGAAGGACCGGGAGGGATGGAAGGAGAGGATCCGCGGCATACGATGCGATGGGAGGACCATGAGCGGCTGCGGCGCCGCCGTTGCCGAGGCCGTCGATGTCTTTGGGAGGATTGATATTCTCTTGTGCTGTCGGTCGGAAGGTATGTACCGCCGAAACACATGATCAAGCACCCTACAGATCACAGATGGCATGACCATGTTTGCTAACCTGCCGTAGCCGTCGTCGGGACCGTGGAGGAGCTGTCCACGAACCTCGCCACCCAGAGCCTGGCCAGGGACCAGTTCGAGACCTTGTTCTTCTCCCAGGTCAACTTCATCAAGGCCGCTCTGCCGCAGCTCCGGGCGCAGCACACCGGCCACATCATGGTCCTCACGAGCACCGGAGGCCACATTGGCACGCCGCACATGTCCATGTACACGGCGGCGACGTGGGCCCTCGAGGGCTTCTGCGACTCCCTGGCATACGAGGTGGCGCCCTTCAACATCAAGGTCACCATCGTGCAGCCCAACAAGGAGATCCAGTCGCTCACCAACCGCATCACCTTTGCGCCGCAGATCCCCGCGTACGCCAGCAGCTTCGCCGAGGCCCCCAGCGTCCGGGAGATGCTCACGACCGTTCTCAACTCCCACCCCGACACGGCGGTCCCGGCCAACCCGGAGTCCGACAATGCCGCCACGTCACCGGATAGCATGTCACTGGAGCCGGGCGAAGCTGTGGGCGAAATCTTTTACCGCTACCCCAAGCTGCCGCCCTCGTCCATCGACAAGCTCGTAAACGAGACGATTTACGCGCTGACGGCCATTGGGGGCCACGAGAACCCGCCTTCGCGGCACATTGTAGGGACCGAAGGTGCGCTTGCCGTCAAGGAGAAGCTCAAGACTGTCACGGAGGAGATGGAGGATTTCGTTGAGGCGAGCCTTGCCGTGGACATCTTCGAGAGCGAGTTGACGGAGGAGGCCAGGGACGACAGGAACCGCGGTACCAGCCAAACACCAGCCGCGAGCAGCCAGACCCCGGCCACTGGGCCTTCTACCGACGGCGTGTAGTCCCACATGACGAGGGGAATTTCTTGAGGAAACAAGTTTCTCGAAAAAAGTTTTCAAATGCCTAAAGCGAGAATATCTATCCGAGCCAACGGTGCTTACTTTTTTTTCTCTTTTGCTACCTTTCTTTCTTTCTTTCTTTCTTTCTTTCTTTCTTTCTTTCTTTCTTTCTTTCTTTCTTTCTTTCTTTCTTTCTTTCTTTCTTTCTTTCTTTCTTTCTTTCTTTCTTGCTTTCTTTCTTTCTTTCTTTCTTTCTTGCTTTCTTTCTTTCTTGCTTTCTTTCTTGCTTTCTTTAATATCAAGTATAGGGCTAGGGAAACCGATGACTGAAAGTTCGGCGTCGCATCTTTGAACAGATACTTCACCTTGGCTATATTCTTGATTCTTCTTTAACTCACTGTTGTTCATAACGCGGTGCTGGAAAAGTTCTTCATGTTGTTTTTTCTTCTTTAGCATTCATTTACATAGACTTGATTGACAATTGATTCTGGAATCAGTAATACGTGTTTCCCAGAGTTTCCCCGACTCACTCAAGTCTACCATACATTTCCATGCAGACATGCTGTCGTCTGTCATTCGTCATGGTGGTTGCTCGAAATACACGTACTGCCGATCCAGATCGGAGCGGGCTGTCGTCTGTACGTGTACTGTACTCCAGCTTGGAAGCCATAAATTAGCTACCCTCCCTGTCGGCAAAGTGGATGCTTTTGCTGGAAACGGCGGGCATCGTTCGGCGATATCGCGGATTGCCATCTCCAGCTGTTGATTAAGCTCTCCC